CCCCCCACGGGCAGTGTGTTCATTACCCTTCCGTTGCCATGGCAACGGGACCCTCTCTTCTCCCCCCCACCCCGCCATCCTCTGTGGGAATGGGGCATCTGCTCTCTTGAGTGGAAGAGGAGGGGGGCTGTTTTTGTTTCGGTGCAAAGGGGAGGGGGGCACAGAAAGGGCCGGGGGGGGGGGGCTGACTTGGGTCTGGGTAGATGGCCAGGAGGGAGAGGGGGGGTTAATTTCTGCAGCTTCCTCCCCCCTCCCCCAGCCCGCCTGATCTCTTTCCTTGATTTTCAAGGGGCTTTGCGAAGACACACACACCCCCCCCCCCCGGAGGTTTTTAAGAAGAGATTGGATGGACTGCCTTTTGCTTGGAATGTATAGGGTCTCCTGCGTGAGTGGGGGGGGGGGCTGGGGGGTTGGACCTGAAGACCTCTGAGGTCCCTTCCAGCTCTGTTATTCTGCTATTCTTTCTTTCTTCCTTCCTTCCCTCCTTCCTTCTCTCCTTCCTTCCCTCCCTCCCTCCTTCCTTCTCTCCTTCCTTCGTTCCTTCTCTCCTTCCTTCCTTCCCTCCCTCCTTCCTTCTCTCCTTCCTTTGTTCCTTCCCTCCCTTCTTCCTTCCTTTCTTCCTTCCCTCCTTCCTTCCTTCCTTCTCTCCTTCCTTTCTTCCTTCCTTCTCTACCTCCTTCCATCCTTCCTTCTCTCCTTCTCTCCTTCCTTCCTCCCTCTGTCCTTCCTTCGTTCCTTCGTTCCTTCTCTCCTTCCTTCCTTTCCTTCCTTCCCTCCCTCCTTCCTTCCTTCCTTCTCTCCTTCCTTCCTTTCCTTTCCTCTCTTCTTCCTTCCTTCCTTCCCTTCCCTTCTTCCTTCCTTCCTTCCTTCCTTCCTTCTCCCTTCTTCCTTCCTTCCTTCCTTCCCTTCCTTCTTCCTTCCTTCCTTCCTCCTTCCCTCCCTTCTTCCTTCCTTCCTTCCCTCCCTTCTTCCTTCCTTCCTTCCTTCCTTCCCTCCCTTCCCTTCCTTCCTTCCTTCCTTCCTTCTCTCCTTCCTTCCCTACTTCCTTCCTCTCCATCACTGGGCGTTTTCAAGAACAAATTGGACAGCCATTTATCCAGAATGGAACAGGGTCTCATTTTTGAGCAAGGGGTTGGACTAGAAGACCTCCAGGATCCCTTCCAACTCTGTTACAGGTGGTCCTTGACTTATGACCACAACTGAGCCTAAAATTTCCCTTGCTACATGAGACAGTTCTTAAGTGAGGTTTGTCCCACTTTACGACCTTTCTTGCCACAGTTCCACTTTTACACCCTGCAGTTATGGGACCCCATTTTACTGAAAATTGACATTCATTTCTGGGGGAGGTTTTTTGCCAAAACCGTTCCCGTAGCGAGCCGCTGGCTCGCTTAACGACTGTGGCGTTCGCTTAATGACTGCCACGAAACCCAAAAAAGGTAGCAACGTTCGGTTGGTCACGTGGCCAACCCGATTTACGACCGTCGCACGTTTACGACCTTGACAGCCGGGCTCCATGCCGGTCGTAACTTGAGGACTGCTTAAATCAGCGCCCTGGTGCTGCTCCGATGCTGCTTGTTGACGAGGGCTTGGAAAGAGCCGTGAGACAAATTATCTCCTGTTTTGTGAAGAAAAATCCAGCTTTTCTTCATTTTTCCTGGAAAAAAAAAAGCTTTGGAGCTGTTTTTAAGAAGGGCAGGAATGTTAATGAGCAGATGCCTTAACAACAAATCGGTCTCTTTTCCAGGAACTTATAAATCACGGTCCGTTTATTAGAAGTAACATATAAATAAATATGGTGTAATCAGCCCCGAGATAGGATTGTAAACTACACCAGCGCCTCAACTTAACGACCGATTTTACAATATTGAGCAGCCATTAAGGAGAAAGGAAAGGCAAGCGAAGCAAAGGAAGATAAAAGAAAGGGGGTGGGGGGGTGGGGAATTAAAAACTCATATATAGTGTTTTCTATAAAGAAAGAAATTTCTCCCCCATTGGCACTTTTTTAAGCCCTTTTGGAACCTCATCGGGGTGGGCGCCACGTAAATTTTGTTCAGCTGGGTTGAGAGTGAAACAGGTTGTGTGAACACAAGGAGTTGGTGCACCTGGGAGGACACATCCGGGATGGCCCCAGGATCACAATTTCTAACAGAACAGCAGAGTTGGAAGGGACCTTGGAGGTCATCCAGTCCAACCCCCTGCTCAGGCAGGAGATCCTATACCGTTCCAGACAAAGGGCTGTCCCGTCTCTTCTTTAAAACCTCCAGTGTTGGAGCACCCACAACTTCTGGCGGCAAGGAGTTCCACTGGTGAATTGTTCTCACTGTCAGGATATTTCTCCTTAATTCCAGGTTGTTCCTTCTTTCTTTGATTATTTTGCATTCGTTGCTTCTTGTCCTGCCTTCAGGGGCTTTGGAGAATAGGATGACCCCCTTCCTCTTCTTCTTGGCAGCCCCTCAAATATGGGAAGATTGTTATCATGTCACCCCTGGTCCTTCTCTTTGTTAGACTAGACTGGAGTAGACAACCTTGGCTCTTTTATGACTCGTGGACTTCAACTCCCAGAATTCCTGAGCCAGCATGGTGGAAACTTTGGCCCCTTCACAACTTGTGGACTTCAACTCCCAGAATTCCTGAGCCAGTGTGGCTCAGCTTGGAAACCTCTCCCTTTCCCCTCAGCATGGTTTCCTCAGGAATTCTGGGAATTGAAGTCCACGAGTCATAAAAAAGCCATAGTTCCCTCATGCTGGCTCAGGAATTCTGGGAGTTGAAGTCCATGAGTTATGAAGGGGCCACAGTTCCCCCATGCCTGCTCAGGAATTCTGGGAGTTGAAGTCCACGAGTCATAAAAGAGCCAAGGTTGCCGACCCCTGGCCTAGACAAATTAAGATTCCCCCCCCCAAAACACATTACAACTTCCTTTCTACATCTGTTGTAGGAATTAATTTTTAATAATTTGTTCTTATTATTCTTTTCTTTAATGGACGTGCACTTTGTTGCATTGTTTCCTTTTGTTCCATTTTGGAGAAGCCGGAGTCAATTTTGCTTCCTCGCAAGATCTGGCAGAGCTTGGAAGTATAAAAATGCTGAATCCAGGCCAAACGGGCAGTGCAACATGGGCTGGTGTTTCTCTCCGAGAATGCGGTGGAAAAATTTCCTGTCAGTGAGAAGAATTAAAGGAGTGGAATTGCTTCCCTCCAGAGGTTGTGGGTGCTCCATCGCTGGAGGTTTTTAAGAAGAGATAGAGTAGAATAGAATAGAATAGAATAGAATAGAATAGAATAGAATAGAATAGAATAGAATAGAATAGAATAGAATAGAATAGAATAAGAACAAGAACAGAATAAGAACAGGAATAGAGTAGAGTAGAATAGAATAGAATAGAATAGAATAGAATAGAATAGAATAGAATAGAATAGAATAGAATAGAATAGAATTACAGAATGGAAATATATGGAATGGAATGGAATGGAATAGAATAGAATATGGAATGGAATATGGAATGGAATGGAATAGAATAGAATAGAATTACAGAATGGAAATATATGGAATGGAATAGAATAGAATAGAATAGAATAGAATAGAATAGAATAGAATAGAATAGAATAAGAACAAGAACAGAATAAGAACAGGAATAGAGTAGAGTAGAGTAGAGTAGAGTAGAGTAGAGTAGAGTAGAGTAGAGTAGAGTAGAGTAGAGTAGAATTGAATGAAGGAAGGAAGGAAGGAAGGAAGGAAGGAAGGAAGGAAGGAAGGAAGGAAGGAAGGAAGGAAGGAAGAGTAGTAGAATATCAGAGCTGGAAGGGACCTTGGAGGTCTTCTAGTCCAGCTCCCCACTCAAGCAGGAGAACCTATGCCATCTCAGACAGGTGAATGTCTCTAGCTTCTTCTTAAAAACCTCCAGTGATGGAGCGCCCATGATTTCTGGTGGCAAGCTGTTCCACTGGTTAATTGTCCTCACTCTCAATAAGTTTCTCCTTAATTCCAGGTTGCTTCTCTCTTTGATGAGTTTCCAACCATGGTTTCTCGTCCTTCCTCTGGTGCTTTGGTGAATAATTTGACTCCCTCCTCTTCTTTGTGGCAGCCCCTCAGATACTGGAACACTGCTATCATGTCTCCCTTATTTCTTCTTTTCTTTAGACTAGCCAAACCCAAGTCCCGCAGCCGTTCTTCGTATGTTTTAGTATTATTCTGCTATTCTGCTATTCTAATCCAGAAGAGAACCAGCCTAGAACTAAACCAGTGGAATTCTTTGCCTCCAGAAGTTATGGGCGCTCCATCACTGGAGATTTCTAAGAAGAGACTGGACAGCCACTTGTCTGAAATGATATAGGCCGGGTCTCCTGCTTGAACACGGGGTTAGACTAGATGACCTCCAAAGTCCCTTCCAACTCTGTTATTCTGTCCTTGATTTACAACAGTTCATTTTAGTGATGGTTCAAAGTTATCCCAGCACTGAGAAAAGGGACTTGTGACGATTTTTTCACGCTTACAACCGTTGCAGCATCCCCGTGGTCACGTGATCAAAATTCAGACACTTGGCCAACTGACTCATATTTATGACGGTCGCAGTGCCCCAGGTTCACGCGATCCCCTTTTCACGACCTTCTCACCAGCCATGTCAATGGGAGAAGCCCGGTTCACTTAACAACCGTGAGGCTAACTTCGCAACTGCAACGATTCGCTTAACGACGGTGGCCAGACAGGTCACAGAAAGGGTGCAAAACTCACTTAACTGTCTCGCATAACGACAGAAATATTGGGCTTCATTGTCGTAAGTTGAGGACTTACCTGTATTGTGGGTTTTTCATAGCGTAAGCCTCTCGGAGTCACTCAAGTATGATTTGGGCAGCCGGTACATTTTGTGTAATAAATTAATGAAAGAAATGGGCGCATAGGATTTCTCGCCTGGGGGGGGGCAATCGGGGGTCCTGACGTGGCAGATAACAGCTTTTGAATTCGGGCTGCCCAACTCACTTTGTTTTTATCCTTTTCTTTTGCAGAGTGTTCAAGAAAGCCAGCCCCAATGCCAAGGTAAGAGACCTCTTGATTCGTTTTGCAAGATTTGGTCATGATGGAAACTGGCAGGCCAGATAATCTGTTGATCGGGAGGCACTTAACGAAAGGAGAAGAAGAAAAAAAAATGCTAATCCAGTTGCAACACTTTAAATCAGGGCTCTCCAAAATTCCTGACAGTGAGGACAATTAATCAACTGCCTCCGGAAGTGGTGAATGCTCCAACACTGGAAGTTTTTTTAAGAAGAGATTGGACAACCATTTGTCTGAGACGGAATAGGGCTTCCTTCTTGAGTAGGGGGTTGGACTAGATGACCTCCAAGGTTCCTTCCAACTCTGTTATTCTGTTATTCTATTCTCCAAAGCCTCTGAAGGCAGGACAAGAAAGCAACGGGTGGAAAGTCATCAAGGAGAGAAGCAACCCGGAACTAAGGAGAAACTTCTTGACAGTGAGAATAATTAACCAGTGGAACAACTTCCCACCAGAAGCTGTGAATGCTCCAACACTGGAGGTTTCTAAGAAGAGACTGGACAACCATTTGACTGGAATGGTCTAGGGCAGTGGTTCTCAACCTGTGGGTCAGGACCCCATTTGGGGTCGAACGACCATTTCACGGGGGTCGCCAAACAACGCAGTCCGCCATTTTTTCCCCCTTTTCCTTAGCTGTGCTACTCCCTTTTATTCTATTGGCTTTTGAAAGCCAATAGAATAGACTCTCTTGAATAGAGTCTAATTCTATTGGCTTTCAAAAGCCAATAGGAATTGTCCAGGCTATCTCTGCCCTGCTGAGCCCGCCAAAAGTCCCATTCTGCAAACGGTGCTGCACCAGTTGAGTAGTCCTCGACTTACGACTGGTTGAGTACTCCTCGACTTACGACCGGTTGGGGGGTCGCAGCATTAAAAAGGTTGAGAACCACTGGTCTAGGGTTTCCTGCTTGAGCAGGGGGTTGGACTAGAAGGCCTCCAAGGTCCCTTCCATCTTTGTTACTCTATTCTATTCCGTTCTGTTCTGCTCTGTTCTATTCTATTCTGTGTCTCCTGCTTGAGCAGGGGGTTGGACTAGATGACCTCCGAGTCCCTCCCAACTCTGTTCTTCTGTTAAGACAGCAAGGAATTGCTTCCTCCGCCAGCTCTCCTTGACGGGGGAAGCAGTGTCCCTGCTGGTCTTAAGTGCCAGCCAACCATTGTGTTGCTAAGTGAGCTTCTGGTGCCTCAGCTGATGTCCGTAAGCCCCACCTGGAACTCTGGATGAATAGAGGCCTATGAGTCATCTTGGCCAGGTCATGGCCAGGAGAAGGCCTGTGGTAAACATAGCAAGGCGGGTGTCCTTCCTTTCCGTTTCAGCTCCTCCGTTTTCCATGGGAACCGAAAGTCTCCCTCGGTGTCAGAAGGCAAGGACGGGAGGGTAGCTAAAAATAATCCAGAGATGAAAAGCCAGTCTGTGGAAAGCTGAGCTCATAAACCACGATTCGGCCCAGGTGGGGAGGAAGCCGGGTAAGAGAGAGAGAGAGAGGGAGGGAGGGAGGGAGGGAGGGAGGGAGAGAGGGAGAATGGAAGGATGGATTATAGATAAAGACAGACAGACATAATGGGTGGAAGGATGGATGGATGGATGGATGGATAGATGGAAGGATGGAAGATAGATAGATAGATAGATAGATAGATAGATAGATAGATAGATAGATAGATAGTTGTTTTCTGAGGGTTTTCTCCCGCGTAGATAGATAGATAGATAGATAGATAGACAGACAGACAGACAGACAGACAGACAGACAGACAGACAGACAGACAGACAGATAGATAGATAGATAGATAGATAGATAGATAGATAGATAGATAATGGATGGATGGATGATACAGACAGACAGATAGACAGATAGGTAGATAGATGATGATGGATGGATGGATAGATAGATAATTAGATAACTAGGTTAGAGATAAATAGATATATGATAGATAGATAGATAGATAGATAGATAGATAGATAGATAGATAGATAATGGAAGGATGGATGATGGATAGATAGATAGATAGATAGATAGATAGTAATAGTAGTAAAGTTGGAAGGGACCTTGGAGGTCATCTAGTCCAACCCCCTGGTCGGGCAGGAAACCCTACACCATTTCGGACAAATGGCTGTCCAGTCTCTTCTTAAAAACTTCCAGTGTTGGAGCATTTACTGCTTCTGGAGGCAGGCTGTTCCACTGATTAATTGTTCTCAATGTCAGGAAGTTTCTCCTTAGTTCTAGGTTGCTTCTCTCCTTGATTAGTTTCCACCCGTTGCTTCTTTTCCTGCCTTCAGGTGCTTTGGAAAATAGCTTAATTCCCTCTTCTTTATGGCAGCCCCTGAGATATTGGAATACTGCTATCATGTCCCCCCTTGTCCTTCTCTTCGTTAAACTAGACATACCCAATTCTCGCAACCGTTCCTGATATGTTTTAGCCTCCAGTCCCCTAATCCTCTTTGTTGCTCTTCTCTGTACTCTTTCTAGAGTCTCAACATCTTTTTTACATCGTGGTGACCAAACTGGATGCAGTATTCCAAGTGTGGCCTTACCAAGGCATTGAAGAGTGGTATTAATACTTCACGTGATCTTGATTCTATCCCTCTGTTAATGCAGCCTAGCACTGTGTTGGCCTTTTTGGCAGCTGCAGCACACTGCTGGCTCATATTTAGGAGATTGTCTACTAGGACTCCAAGGTCCCTCTCACAGTTACTACTATTGAGCATGGTGCCACCTATGCTGTACTTGTGCATTTGTTTTTTCTTGCCTAAATGTAGAACCTTGCTTTTTTCACCATTGAATTTCATTTTGTTAGTTAGTGCCCAGTGTTCAAGTCTGTCCAGAGCCTTCTGTATCTGAAGCCTGTCTTCTGGAGTGTTGGCTATTCCTGCCAGCTTGGTGTCGTCTGCAAATTTGATGAGTTCCCCATCTATCCCTTCATCCAAATCGTTGATGAAGATGTTGAAGAGTACTGGGCCCAGAACAGAGCCCTGGGGCACCCCACTACACACTTACCTCCATATAGATGCAGTTCCATTGAGGACCACTCGCTGAGTACGGCCGGTCAGCCAGCTATGGATCCATCTGGTGGTGGTTCTGTCTACCCCACATTTTTCTATCTTGTCAAGTAGTAGGTTGTGATCTACTTTATCAAATGCTTTACTGAAGTCCAAGTAAATTATGTCCACAGCATTCCTCTGATCCACTAATTTTGTCACTTGGTCAAAGACTGCAATAAGATTTGTCTGGCATGATCGATTTTTGACAAACCCATGTTGGCTTTTAGTAATGACTTTGTTTGCCTCTAGGTGTTCGTTGATTCGTTGTTTGATTATCTTTTCCAGGATCTTCCCAGGTATTGAGGTCAGGCTGATAGGTCTGTAATTTCCTGGATCCATTTTTTTTTCCTTTTTTTGAGGATGGGAACTACATCAGCTCTTTTCCAGTCCTCTGGTAGTTCCCTCTGTTCCAGGATCTTTGAAAAATATAGTTCAGTGGCTCCGATATCACATCTGCCAGTTCCTTGAGAACTCTGGGGTGTAATCCGTCTGGTCCTGGCGATTTGAACTCATCTAGGCTGGATAGATAGATAGATAGATAGATAGATAGATAGATAGATAGATAGATGATAGATAATGGAAGGATGGATTATAGATACAGACAGACAGATAATGGGTGGAAGAAAGGATGGAAGGATGGATGATAGATAGATAGATAGATAGATAGATAGATAGATAGATAATGGATGGATGGATGGATGGATGGAAGGTTGGATGGATGATACAGACAGACAGACAGATAAACATAGACAGACACATACATAGATATACAGAGATAGACAATAGATATATGTATATAAAGAGAGATTAGACAGAGAGGGAAAGAGAGATAGATGAGAGATTGGTTTGTTGGTTGGTAAGTAGATAATTGATAGATGAGAGAGAGAGAGAGAAATGATAGATGATAGGTTGATTGGTAGCTAGATGTGAGATAGGTAGGTAGACAGACAGACAGACAGCAGAATAACAGAATAGCAGAATAACCCAGTTAGAAGGGACCTTGGAGGTCTTCTAGTCCAACCCCCTGCTCAAACAGGAGACCCTTCCAGAGTCACAGAATAAGTAGAGTCGGGAGGGACCTTGGAGGTCATCTAGTCCAACCCCCTGCTCAAGCAGGAAACTCCATCTCAGTCAGAGGCTTGTCCAATCTCTTCTTTGGATGAATAGATAGGAGAGAGGGGGAGAAGGGAGCAGAAACTCATGTTAAATCTTTCTTTAATAATGATGTTCCTTGGCTCTTGATAGACAGACGACGTCTCCCTCAGGCCTTGCCAAAATGACTCCTCTGTCCTTTTGTCTCCTGGCAGCTCACCGTTTACCTGGGAAAGAGAGATTTTGTCGACCACATTGACCTCGTGGATCCAGTCGGTAAGTGGAGCTGTCAGCACTCCATAAAGCAGGGGTGTCCAAACTGAGCAAAGCTGTCTGAGGAATTCTGGGAGTTGAAGTCCACCAGTCTTAAAGCGGCCCAGTTTGGCTGGCTGAGGAATTCTGGGAGTTGAAGTCCATCAGTCTTAAAGCGGCCCAGTTTGGCTGGCTGAGGAATTCTGGGAGTTGAAGTCCACCAGTCTTAACGCGGCCCAGTTTGGCTGGCTGAGGAATTCTGGGAGTTGAAGTCCACCAGGCTTAACGCGGCCCAGTTTGGCTGGCTGAGGAATTCTGGGAGTTGAAGTCCACCAGTCTTAACGCGGCCCAGTTTGGCTGGCTGAGGAATTCTGGGAGTTGAAGTCCACCAGTCTTAAAGAGGCCCAGTTTGGCTGGCTGAGGAATTCTGGGAGTTGAAGTCCCCCAGTCTTAAAGCGGCCCAGTTTGGCTGGCTGAGGAATTCTGGGAGTTGAAGTCCACCAGTCTTAAAGCGGCCCAGTTTGGCTGGCTGAGGAATTCTGGGAGTTGAAGTCCACCAGTCTTAAAGAGGCCCAGTTTGGCTGGCTGAGGAATTCTGGGAGTTGAAGTCCACCAGTCTTAAAGAGGCCCAGTTTGGCTGCCTGAGGAATTCTGGGAGTTGAAGTCCACCAGTCTTAAAGCGGCCCACTTTGGCTGGCTGAGGAATTCTGGGAGTTGAAGTCCACCAGTCTTAAAGCGGCCCACTTTGGCTGGCTGAGGAATTCTGGGAGTTGAAGTCCACCAGTCTTAAAGCGGCCCACTTTGGCTGGCTGAGGAATTCTGGGAGTTGAAGTCCACCAGTCTTAAAGCGGCCCAGTTTGGCTGGCTGGGGAATTCTGGGAGTTAAAGTCCACCAGTCTTAACGCGGCCCAGTTTGACTGGCTGAGGAATTCTGGGAGTTGAAGTCTACATGTCTTAAAGCGGCCAAGTTTGAAGACCCCTGCCATAAAGTAACCGAGATCGATCAATTGATCGTGATCCCCCCTTTGGATTAAGGGGGATTAATCCTCGGATAATAATGCTGGAAGTCTTGGCTGTGTACCCTAACATGTTCTGCAGCAAACCTGGTTAATGCACGCACCCATGATGGGCAGACCGAACCATTCCACTTGGCTCTCATTTTCGGCCCATTCTTTCTACAGATGGCGTCGTCTTGGTGGATCCAGAATACTTAAAAGAGCGCAAAGGTAAAATTACAATTTATTCTTAAACCAATTTATCTAGCCTCCCAACCCACACACACACACAACGCCTCCAGGAGGCGTGCCACGTTAAAAAGCCCAGTTAAAAATTCACCATTTAAAACCCACTCACACCCATCGCAGGATGTTGGCCACAAAATCAAAAAAGCCACACGATCGTCTCCGATAGCCAAATCTGGCCTGGGTCTTGACCTCGCCTTACTTTTTCCAATAAGAAACTGAGTAGAACAGGGTCTTCAAACTTGGCCCTTTGATAACTTGTGGACTGGGTGTTGAAGTCCGCAAGTCATGAAGGGGCCATAGTTCCCCATGCTGGCTGAGGAATTCTGGGAGTTGAAGTCCGCAAGTCATGAAAGGGCCATAGTTCCCCCATGCTGGCTCAGGAATTCTGGGAGTTGAAGTCCACAAGTCATGAAGGGGCCATAGTTTTCCCCATGCTGGCTCAGGAATTCTGGGAGTTGAAGTCCGCAAGTCATGAAGGGATCAAAGTTTCCCCCATGCTGGCTCAGGAATTCTGGGAGTTGAAGTCCGCAAGTCATGAAGGGATCAAAGTTTCCCCCATGCTGGCTCAGGAATTCTGGGAGTTGAAGCCCAGAAGTCATGAAGGGGCCATAGTTTCCCCATGCTGGCTGAGGAATTCTGGGAGTTGAAGTCCGCAGGTCATGAAGGGGCCATAGTTCCCCATGCTGGCTGAGGAATTCTGGGAGTTGAAGTCCACAAGTCATGAGGGGCCATAGTTCCCCCATGCTGGCTGAGGAATTCTGGGAGTTGAAGTCCACAAGTCATGAAGGGGCCATAGTTCCTCCACACTGGCTGAGGAATTCTGGGAGTTGAAGCCCAGAAATCATGAAGGGGCCATAGTTCCCCCATGCTGGCTGAGGAATTCTGGGAGTTGAAGTCCGCAAGTCATGAAAGGGCCAGGTTTGAAGACCCCCTGCCCTATAGCTTTGTCTGGAGGGAAGAAATTGAAATAGTTTATGTCCAGGATCGATAATCAAATGCTCTCCTGCAGTCCTGGTTTCTGGAAGGGAGACTTTTCTGGAAGGTTCTGGCCAGTCATGAGCAATACGTCTGAGAAAGCAAATTTAAAGTACAAGTAAACCCCTTGTTAGTTAGCTATTGCCACAGTCCTACAAAAATCCATATTGCAAGTATTACAAAGTCCACCCTCCGTGGCCCTCCGCTCCGAAGGGGGTCCCAGGGCCCATGGATAAAAAAAAGCATGTCTTCGAGGCCAAAAGCAACAAGGTGGAGGCCCATCCGGTCTCCGAAGAAGGCTGTTGCAAAGGGAGGGAGCCACCACCAAGAAGGCCCTTTTCCTAGGCCAGGGGTAGGCAACCTTGGCTCTTTTATGACTCGTGGACTTCAACTCCCAGAATTCCTGAGCCAGCCACGCTGAGGGGAAAGGGAGATGTTTCCAAGCTGAGCCATGCTGGCTGAGGAATTCTGGGAGTTGAAGTCCACGAGTCATGAAGGGGAATTCCATATTAGATTCCCCCATGCTGGCCCCACGAGTCATGAAGGGGCTGGCTCAGGAATTCTGGGAGTTGAAGTCCATGAATCATGAAGGGGTCATAGTTCCCCCATGCTGGCTCAGGAATTCTGGGAGTTGAAGTCCACGAGTCATGACGGGGCCATAGATTCCCCCATGCTGGCTGAGGAATTCTGGGAGTTGAAGTCCACGAGTCATGAAAGGGCCATAGTTCCCCCATGCTGGCTCAGGAATTCTGGGAGTTGAAGTCCACGAGTCATGAAGGGGCCATAGTTCCCCCATGCTGGCTGAGGAATTCTGGGAGTTGAAGTCCACGAGTCATGAAGGGGCCATAGTTCCCCCATGCTGGCTCAGGAATTCTGGGAGTTGAAGTCCACGAGTCATGAAGGGGCCATAGGTCCCCCATGCTGGCTGAGGAATTCTGGGAGTTGAAGTCCGCAAGTCATGAAAGGGCCAAGTTTGAAGACCCCCTGCCCTATAGCTTTGTCTGGAGGGAAGAAGTTGAAATAGTTTATGTCCAGGATCGATAATCTATCAAATGCTCTCCTGCAGTCCTGGTTTCTGGAAGGGAGACTTTTCTGGAAGGTTCTGGCCAATCATGAGCAATACATCTGAAAAAGCAAATTTAAAGTACAAGTAAACCCCTTGTTAGTTAGCTATTGCCACAGTCCTACAAAAATCCATATTGCAAGTATTACAAAGTCCATCCTCCGTGGCCCTCCGCCCCAAAGGGGGTCCCAGGGCCCATGGATAAAAAAAGCATGTCTTCGAGGCCAAAAGCAACAAGGTGGAGGCCCATCCCGTCTCCGAAGAAGGCTGTTGCAAAGGGAGGGAGCCACCACCAAGAAGGCCCTTTTCCTAGGCAGGGGTAGGCAACCTTGGCTCTTTTATGACTCGTGGACTTCAACTCCCAGAATTCCTGAGCCAGCCACGCTGAGGGGAAAGGGAGAGGTTTCCAAGCTGAGCCATGCTGGCTGAGGAATTCTGGGAGTTGAAGTCCACGAGTCATGAAGGGGCCATATTTCCCCCATGCTGGCTCAGGAATTCTGGGAGTTGAAGTCCGCGAGTCATAAAAGAGCCAAGGTTGCCTACCCCTGTCCTAGGCCAAATGTTCTTGTTGAGTGCCTTTTTTTTTTTTAACTTGTTTACCCCCTTTTTGGGTGCCGGAATCGAATTCCGACGGGGCTCCTTCCCAGCCTGGGACCACAGCCTTTGATTTAGGCCTCTCCGTTTCTCCTGGCAGTTTTCGTGACGCTGACCTGCGCTTTCCGCTACGGCCGCGAGGATCTGGACGTGCTGGGCCTCACCTTTCGCAAAGATCTCTTCGTGTCCAACGTCCAGGCCTTCCCTCCGGTGGCCGAAGAGAAGAAGCCACTGACGAGGCTGCAGGAACGGCTGGTGAAGAAGCTGGGCGAGCAGGCGTACCCCTTTACGTTTGAGGTACACCCCCTTCCCGCTCACTTTCCTTTCCCATCTCTGCAGTTTTGGTGGCAAGGCTACCTTGGATGATGCGATGGGAGAGGGACCTTGGAGTCCTAGTGGACGATCACTTAAATAGGAGCCAGCCGTGTGCTGCAGCTGCCAAAAAGGCCAACCCAGTGCTGGGCTGCATGAACAGAGAATCAAGATCACGTGAAGTGTTAATACCCCTTTACAAGGCCTTAGTAAGGCCACACTTGGAATTCTGCATCCAGTTTTGGTCATCACGATGTAAAAAAGATGCTGAGACTCTAGAAAGAGTGCAGAGAAGAGCAACGAAGATGATTAGGGGGCTGGAGGCTAAAACATAAGGAACGATTGCTGGAATTGGGTATGTCTAGTTTAATGAAGAGAAGGACGAGGGGGGACAGGATAGCAGCCTTCCAGTATCTCAGGGGCTGTCCCAAAGAAGAGGGAGTCAAGCTATTCTCCAAAGCGCCTGAAGGCAAAATAAGAAGCAATGGATTGAAACTCATCAAGGAGAGAAGCAACCTGGAATTAAGTAAGAATTTTCTGATAGTGAGAACAATTAATCAGTGGAACAGCTTGCCTCCAGAAGTTGTGGGTCCTCCCAACACTGGAGGTTTGTAAGAAAAGATTGGACAGCCATTTGACTAAAACAGTAGAGGGTTTCCTGCTTGAACAGGGGGTTGGACTAGAAGACCTCCAGGGTGCCTTCCAATTCTGTTATTCTGGATTGTTTAACCTAGCCTGACAATGAATAAACACAGTAATCTTACAGTAAAAAAAAAATGAAACTTTACAATTACCTTGCAATAAGTAAAGCCTTAGAAGAACCTTACGGTAAATAAAGTTTACAATAATCTTGCAATAAATAAACCAACTGTTAGCATTCATTGTTGACGTGTCTCGCCTAGTTTGCCTCAAAGGGCAGATTCTTCCACAAAGTCAAGAATGAAGGTGAATGAATAATAGGAGAGAAATGCCTGGAGAGGAGAAAGAAAGAAAGAAAGAAAGAAAGAAAGAAAGAAAGAAAGAAAGAAAGAAAGAAAGAAAGAAAGAAAGAAAGAAAGAAAGAAAGAAAGAAGGAAGGAAAGAAGGAAAGAAAGAAGGAAGGAGGAAGGAAGGAAAAGACAAAGAACAAAAGAAAGAAAGAAAGAAAAAAGAGGAAGGAGGAAGGAAAGAAAGAAAGAAAGAGAAAGAAAGAAAAAAAGAAAGAAAGAAAAGAGAAAGAAAGGGAGGAAGGAAGGGAGGAAGGAAAAGAAAGAAAGGAACAAGGAAGGAAAGAAAGAAAGAAAAGAGAAAGAGGGAGGGAGGGAGGGAGGAAGGAAAAGGAAGAAAGAGGAAGAAGCAAAGAAAGAAAAAGGAAAGAGGGAGGAAGGAAAAGAAAGAAAGGAAGGAAGGAAGAAAAAAGAAAGAGGAAGGGAAAATACAAAGAACGAAAGAAAAAGAAAAAAGAGGAAGGAGGAAAGAAAGACAGAAAGATAGAAAGAAGGAAAGAGGGAGGGAGGGAGGAAGGAAAAGGAAGAAAGAAAGGAAGGAAGAAGGAAGGAAAGAAAGAAAGGAAGAAGGAAGGAAGGAAAAGAAAGAAAGAAAATTTAATCGTAAAGCAAATCTAGAAAAGAGGAGCGAATGGTTGAGAGGAAGACAAAACGAAGGAGGCAGATCCTGGGATGGAGAGAGGCGAAGAAGTTTGAAGAAGAAAAAGCAATTATACAATTGTGAATTCACCTGAAGGGAAGCTAAGAGGGTCTGTAGGGCATTGAGAGGGTTGACCTAAAGATCGCTCTTTGTTCTTTTTCTTTCTTTCGCCACTTTCCTTTCTTTGATATGCAATATTGGACTCTCTTTCTGCTCTGTGCCGAAGGCGGTTGCGTTAATCCAGGTTTGCCCATTGTTCCTCGTTTGCATTTTGCTAGAGGGATTTTGCCTTTACTGGGGGCTGCTTTGAGTCTTCTCTTTGCATTTTTATTTTTTACTTTTTGCACAGATCCCTCCCAATCTCCCCTGCTCCGTGACGCTGCAGCCTGGCCCGGAGGACACTGGAAAGGTAGGTCAGGGGCGGCTGGGGGGCGGTGTGGGGGTACAGTGGATAGAGGACCCCCTAACCAGAGGGGGTGGGAAAAGAGGCCTTGGCGTACTAACAAAGTTCTGGCTTCTTTCAGAGGCTTCAAAAACCTGCTCAAAAAGGCACAAAGTTGGCTTGTGGTAAATGGGCTGTGAGAACAACCCTGGGAGACAGAAGACAGATCATTGGATAAGAGACTGCTGAGCCCTCAGTAGACATGAAAAGAGGGAGGGAGGGAGGGAGGAGAGAGGAAAGAAAAGAGAGAGAGAGAAAGGAAAGGGAAGAAGGAAGGAAGGAAGGAAGGAGAGGAAGAGGAAGAAAAGAGAGAGAGAAAGGGAGGAAGGAAGGAAGGAGAGTAAAGAGAGAGAGAAAGGGAGGAAGGAAGGAAGGAAGGAGAGGAAGAAAGAGAGAAAGGAAGGAAGGAAGGAAGGAGAGGGAGAGGAAGAAAAGAGAGAGAAAGAGGAAGGAAGGAGAGAGGAAAGAAAAGAGAGAAAGGGAGGAAGGAAGGAGAGGAAGAAAGAGAGAGAAAGGGAGGAAGGAAGGAAGGAAGGAGCGAAGGAAGGAAGGAAATGGTGGAAAAAGAGGCTGCACCTGCTGAATTTCTGTCTGTCACTGCTTGAGTGACCTCTTGGATCGAGAGGGAGAACAAGGAGGGAGGGAGGGAGGGAGGAAGGAAGGAAGGAAAGAAGGAAGGAAGGAATCACCAGTCTTTATTGGTGAGGATTAAAACGAGAGGAACTTTAATCTGTACAATGAAAAATTAGACAGGTAATCCTCGACTTACAGCCATTCATTTAGTGACAGTTCAAACTTGCAACGGTACTAAAAAAAAAGTGACTTAAAAACCATTCCTCGGACTTAACAACCGTCACAGGTTCCCCGCGGTCATGTCATCCAAATTTGGGGGCCTAGCAGCGGCCGCGGCCTTGTTTGTGAGCTTCCGACAAGCAAAGTCAGTGAGGGGGGAAAGCCGGATCCACTTAACGACCACACAATTCGCTTCACGACTGAAGTGATTCGCTTACTGACCGTGGCCCAAAACAAAAAAGGCTGTTCAATCGGGCCCGGCTGGTTTAACCAGCGCGTTGCTTAGCAACACAATTGCTGGTCCCAATCGTGGTCCTAGGCCGGGAACGATCTGCGCTGCGCTTGAGAGGAGGAGAGTTTCACAGTGAAATGCTAAAGAGGGGTGGGAGCTGAGAGATCTTCTAGTCTGACCCCCCCCTCCACCCCGGAACCTTTGCATCTGGCTGACTCTTGCTTTTTTTTAGGCTTGCGGGGTAGACTACGAGGTGAAGGCCTTCTGCGCGGAGAATTTGGAGGAGAAGATTCACAAGAGGTAGGCCGGCTAACCTGGTTACGGCCAGCCTGGGGGGTCCCTGTTGCTCCGGTGGCTGGCCGAGTGTCGGGCGAGGTGGCCTGGAGGATCTCCCGGCCTTCTCAGGATCGGCCTTCCCCAGCCTGGGAAATCTGGAGGGTAGGCTGGCTTGCTTGCTTGGTTGCTCTTTCTTTCTTTCTTTCTTTCTTTCTTTCTTTCTTTCTTTCTTTCTTTCTTTCTTTCTTTCTTTCTTTCTTTCTTTCTTTTTCTTTCTTCCTTCCTTCCTTCCTTCCTTCCTCTTTCTTTCTTTCTCTTTCTTTTTTCCTTCCTTCCTTCCTTCCTTCCTTCCTCTTTCTTTCTTCTCTTTCTTTCATTCTTCCTTCCTTCCTTTCTCTTTTTCTTTCTTTCTTTCCTTCTTTCCTTTTTCTTTCTCTTTCTTTCCTTCCTTTCCTTCTTTCTTTCCTTTCTCTTTCTTTCTTTCTTTTCTTCCTTTCTCTTTCTTTCTCTTTCTTTCTTTCCTTCCTTCCTTCCTTCTTTCCTCTTTCTTTCTTCTCTTTCTTTCATTCTTCCTTTTCTTTCTTTTTGCTTTCTTTCCTTCCTTTCTCTTTCTTTCCTTCCTTCCTTTCTTTCTCTTTTCTTTCTTTCTTTCTTTTTCTTTCTTTTCTTCCTTTCTCTTTCTTTCTTTCTTTCTTTCTTTTCTTTCTTTCTTTCTTTCTTTCTTTTCTTCCTTTCTCTTTCTTTCTTTCCTTCCTTCCTTCCTTATTTATTTATTTATTTATTTATTTTCTTCCTTTTTCTTTCTTTCCTTCCTTCCTTTTTCTTTCTTTTTTTCCCTTCTTTCCTTCCTTCCTTCCTTTCTTTTCCAACTGTCTGCCTACACTGCAGCTCTTCCTTCTGTCTCGGAAATAGGCCAGACCTTACATTACACGTAGTCCTCGACTTACGATGGTTTATTTAGTCACCATTCAAAGCTGCAACAGCGCTGAAAAAAAGCGACTGATGCCCGTTTTTCATACTGACGCCCATTGCAGCATCTCCAAGCTCAGGTGAACCAAATGGGCAACTGACTCCTATTTATGACCGTTGCACTATCCCGGAGCACCGTGATCTCCTTTTGCGACCTTCTGACCAGCAACGTCCATGGGAGAAGCCAAGCTCACTTATCATGTTGCTAACTTCACAACTGCTGTGATTCCCTTAACAACGGCGGCAGAGAAGGTCGCAAAATGGGGCAAAATTCACTTAAGGACCATCTCACTTAGCAACGGGCTCGATTGTGGTCGTACATCGAGGACTTCCTGTCTACTGCATATCCCCTTTGGGGATTCTGGGTCCTGCAGTCCAAAGAAGGTCCTCTTTTTACGGGAAGGCTGGGGTAAGCATGTCAGGTTGTGATGTTGCCTGTCTTCTCCCCAACTGCCGGTGCAGGAACTCCGTGCGCCTGGTCATACGGAAAGTCCAGTATGCGCCTGAGCGGCCAGGCCCCCAGCCCATGGCGGAGACCACTCGGCAGTTCCTCATGTCCGACAAGCCCCTCCATTTAGAGGCGTCGCTGGATAAAGAGGTATTTCAGCCCTTCGACAGGGCAGATCCAGGATGTGTTCTCTGCAGCCCTAGCAGAGTTTACGGAGTTGTGATGTTGAGAATCCAGAAGACGGAGAGCAGGGCACGGGATTCAGGCCACAGAATCATTACTACATTCAACCTATAGTAAATACATCTCCTCAAGGTCAGCTGTGCTACCTACACGCAGCTTGTGCTTTGAATGAGGCGCACGAGAGGTTTTCAGAAATAGACTGGATAAACCATTTGACTGGGGCAGTATGAACAGAATGGAATGGAATGGAATGGAGTAGAATAGAATAGAATAGAATAGAATAGAATAGAATAGAATAGAATAGAATAGAATAGAAATACAGAATAGAATTACAGAATAGAAATACAGAATAGAGTAGAATAAGGAATAGAATAGAATAGAATAGAATAGAATAGAATAGAATAGAATAGAATAGAATAGAATAGAATAGAATAGAATAAGGAATAGAACAAGGAATAGAACAAGGAATAGAACAAGGAATAGAATAAGGAATAGTAGAATGGAATGGAATGGAGAACAGAATAGAATGGAAGGAGAGAAGCAACCTAGAACTAAGGAGAAACTTCCTGACAGTGAGAACAAAGTGGAACCGCCTGCCTCCAGAAGCAGTGAATGCTCCAACACTGGAAGTTTTTAAGAAGAGACTGGACAGCCATTTGTCCATAATGGTGTAGGGTTTCCTGCCTGAGCAGGGGGTTGGACTAGATGATATCCAAGGTCCCTTCCAACTTGACTATTACTATTATTATTATTATAAAATAGAATAGAACAGAATAGAATAGAGAACAAAACAGAACAGAATAGAATAGAATAGAGAACAGAATAGAATAGAATAGAATAGAATAGAATGGAGAACAGAACAGAATAGAAAACAGAACAGAATAGAATAGAAAACAGAACAGAATAGAATAGAGAACAGAACAGAATAGAATAGAGAACAGAATAGAATAGAGAACAGAATAGAACAGAATAGAAAACAGAACAGAATAGAATAGAAAACAGAACAGAATAGAGAATAGAATAGAGAACAGAATAGAGAACAGAATAGAACAGAATAGAGAACAGAACAGAATAGAATAGAAAACAGAACGGAACAGAACAGAACAGAATAGAATAGAATAGAATAGAAAACAGAATAGAACAGAACAGAATAGAGTTGGAAGGGAGCCTTCCCAGAAGTTCCACCTTGAGGGCCTCCTCGACCTGTCGCTTGTCTCCCCACAGATCTATTATCACGGAGAACCGATCAATGTCAATGTCCACGTGACAAACAACACCAACAAGATGGTCAAGAAGATTAAAATCTCAGGTAACCGGGAGGCTTCTCCTGTTCTCCGCTGGTGGCATCCGGGAGAGAAGGCAGGGTCCCCCTGCGTAGGTGGTCCTCCTCCCAGGTGGTGGGACCCAGCAGGGCTTGGCTGAGTCGTGGCTGGGAATCCAGTTCTCCTGGATCAAGGCCCTCCAAAGCCATTTTGTCCTTTTGATCCCTCAAGGGAAGGGCAGGAAGAGGGAGGGATATAAAATCCAGATAATGTTTTGAGTGCAGGAACCTGATCTGAATCAATGGTCAGACAGGACTTTGGAATTAGTGAGGGGGGGGGATTCCTGTTTTTATATGCACTTTGTTTACATACATATTTTAGATTTCTTTAAATGTACAGAGTCCATTAAACAAAATCTTTCTGTCCAGCTCTTCTCTTCTCTTCTCTCTTCCCTTCTCTTCTCTTCTCTTCTCTCTTCCCTTCCCTTCTCTTCTCTTCTCTTCTCTTCTCTTCTCTCTTCCCTTCCCTTCTCTTCTCTTCTCTCTTCCCTTCCCTTCTCTTCCCTTCTCTTCTCTTTTCCCTTCCCTTCCCTACTCTCTTCTCTTCTTCTCTCCTTTCCTCTTCTCCCTTCCCTTCCTCTTCTCTTTTCCCTTCCCTTCTCTCTTTTCTCTTCTCTTCTCTCCTCTCCTCTCCTCTTCTCCCTTCCCTTCCTCTTCTCTTTTCCCTTCCCTTCTCTCCTCTCCTCTTCTCTTCTCCCTTCCCTTCTCTTCTCTTTTCCTTTCCCTTCTCTCCTCCTCTTCTCTTCTCTTCTCCCTTCCCTTCCCTTCTCTTCTCTTCTCTTCTCTTTTCCCTTCCCTTCTCTCTTCTCTTCTCTTGTCTTCTCCTCTCCTCACTTGCTCTCTTCCTGCTTGCTTTCCAGTTCGACAGTATGCAGACATCTGCCTGTTCAACACTGCCCAGTACAAGTGCCCGGTGGCCGTGGAGGAAACCGAGTGAGTACCCAGCCGGTGGGCCCAGCCGCTGCTTCTCCCACTAGTATGGAGCACGGCGCTTGCTCCTTTCTCTGAGGCAGGCCCGTTTACGCTCACACACACACACACACACTTTTTTTAATTGGACACTTGCGTTGTAAAACTCCAGAAAGGACAATGAAAAAACAGCTGCAGTTTGGTTTGAGTATCAGTTGAGAAAGTGCAAATTAAAATCTGAACTCAGCCCATTATTCCCCTGCCTGGACACACTTACTAACCCCCCTCCCTCACCCAAGATTTGGGGGGGGGGGAAATCCACAAAAATTATTCCAGTTGTAAGACACTTTACAGTTTTTGATAGATAGATAGATAGATAGATGATAGATAGATAGATAGATAGATAGATAGATAGATAGATAGATAGATAGATAGACAGACAGACAGACAGATAATGGATGGAAGGAAGGAAGGAAGGAGAGAGAGAATGGGTGGAAGGAAGGAAGGAAGGAAGGAAGGAAGGAAGGAAGGAAGGAAGGAAGGAAGGAAGGAAGGATGGATGGAAGATAGATGATGGAAGGAAGGATGGATGATAGATAGACAAACAGAGAGAGAGAGAGAGAGAGATAATGGGTGGAAGGATGGATGGATGGAAGATAGATAGATGATGGAGGGAAGGATGGATGATAGATAAATAGAGATAGATAGACAGACAGACAGACAGTTAATGGAAGGAAGGAAGGAAGGAAGGAGAGAGAGAATGGGTGGAAGGAAGGAAATAAGGAAGGAAGGAAGGAAGGAAGGATGGATGGATGGATGGATGGAAGATAGATGATGGAAGGAAGGATGGATGATAGATAGACAGACAGAGACAGAGAGAGAGAGAGAGAGAGAGATAATGGGTGGAAGGATGGATGGAAGATAGATAGATGATGGAAGGAAGGATGGATGATAGATAGATAGATAGATAGATAGATAGATAGATAGATAGATAGATAGATAGATAGATAGATGTATGGAGGGAGGGAGGGAGGGAGGGAGGGAGGGAGAAAGGAAAAAAGGATGGATGATAGACGGACAGACAGACAGACAAAATAAAGACATAGAAGATAGAGATGATAGATAAACGATAGATGATAGACTGACAGACAGACACAGACAGAAGAGATATAGAGATAAATGAACAGGAGAGAGAGGTAATAGAGAGAGAGAGAACAATCATAGAATCCTAGGGCTGGTGGGGGGCCTTGGAGGTCATCTATCCCAACCACCTTCCCACATTGGGAGACCTTATTACACAATCCCTGCCCATTTTATTTCCTCCCTGCTGCAAACTAAAGCTGCGAGGGACGATGCTCTGATGGTTCCTTCTTCTCCCTCCCTCCTTTGCCCCCTCCCTTGCAGCGACGTGGTGGCCCCCAGCTCCACCTTCTGCAAGGTCTACACCTTGACGCCCTTCCTCGCCAACAACCGGGAAAAACGCGGACTGGCTTTGGACGGAAAGCTGAAACACGAGGACACCAATTTGGCTTCCAGCACCTTGTGAGTGCGTCTTTCCTCCGGGGCCGTTGGGAGAGCAGATTCGGATGGCGCACCTGTGCGCCGATGCGCCCTGGTCCCCAAAACAGCCAGTCGGCCACAGTGGGGTGGCATTTAGCGGTTTGACAGGGAGTCCTCGGCTTACGACCACAGTTGAGCCCGAATTTTTTGTTGCGAAAGGAGACAGTCATGAAGTGAATTTTGCCCCCCTTTTCTTGCCACCGTCGTTAAGCGAATCACGGCAGTGGTTAAATTACTAACACGGTCGTTAAGCGAATCCAGCTCCCCCCCATTGACTTTACCTGTCAGAAGATCGCAAAAGGGGATCGCGTGATCCCCCCCAGGATGCTGTGACCGTCATAAATATGAATCAGTGGCAAATGTCTGAATTTTGGTCACGTGAATGTTGGGAAGCTGCCACATTTTTAAGTGTGAACAATGGTAAATAAGTCCCTTTTTTTATTAAAAGTTTTTAAAGAATTTCATACAATATATCCCAAATCCCTCCCACCCCTCCCCCACTTCCCAGAGTTGATTACAGGGTTACAAATAAACAAACATAATCTAACTAACATTACCCAACTATAAGTCCCTTTTTTCAGTGCCAGTCACTAAATGAACTGTGGGAAGTTGAGGACTTCTTGTATATAAGCATATATATACAAAATGAATTTAATATGGTCAATGTACGACCACAATTGAGCCCAACATTTCCGTTGCTAAGCGAGACAAATTAATTTTGCCCCGTTTTACGACCTTTCTTGCCACCGTCGTTAAGCAGTTGTTAAGTTAATAACTCGGTTGTTAAGAGAATCCAGCTTCCCCCATTGATTTTGCTGGCCAAAAGGTTGCAAAAGGGGATCACAGGACCCCGGGACACTGCAACGGTCATTAAGTGAACTATTGTAAGCCGAGGACCACCTATACCAGGCAAACTTGGCTCTTTTATGACTCATGGACTTCAACTCCCAGAATTCCTGAACCAGCATGGCTCAGCTTGGAAGCCTCTCCCTTTCCCCTCAGCATGGCTGGCTCAGGAATTCTGGGAGTTGAAGTCCACCAGTCATGAAGGGGGCCATAGTTCCTGCATGCTGGCTGAAAAAGTCTGGGAGTTGAAGTCCACGAGTCATAAAGGGGGCCATAGTTCCTCCATGCTGGCTGAGGAATTCTGGGAGTTGAAGTCCACGAGTCATGAAGGGGGCCATAGTTCCTCCATGCTGGCTGAAAAATTCTGGGAGTTGAAGTCCACGAGTCATGAAGGGACCATAGTTTCCCTCATGCTGGCTGAGGAATTCTGGGAGTTGAAGTCCGCAAGTCATGAAGGGGCCATAGTTCCCCCATGCTGTCTGAGGAATTCTGGGAGTTGAAGTCCACCAGTCATGAAGAGGCTATAGTTCCCCCATGCTGGCTCAGGAATTCTGGGAGTTGAAGTCCACGAGTCATAAAAGAGCCAAGGTTGCCTACCCCTGGCCTATACAGATCTCTGCACCCCCGAAGGCCACTAAGGAAAAGAAAAAGAATGAAAACCTAAGAGAAATTCTTCTATTTCCCTTTAAAAAAAAAAAAAAATTGTGAGGCTCATTTCTTTTCTCTCCGTGGCCAGGCTAAGAGACGGCGCCAACAAGGAAGTTTTGGGCATCATCGTCTCCTATAAAGTGAAAGTCAAGCTGGTGGTCTCACGAGGCGGGTAAGTATTTACAGTCCTCAACTTACGACCGTAACGGAACCTGAAATTTCCATGGTATTTCACAACAGTCGTAAAACGAGGCACCGTGCAAGCAAACCTGATTTGACAAAACTCATTTGCGGCCGTCCGATTTGTCCAACCTGGGTATTTTGGGGGGGGGGAGAAATTAGAAATCAACACCAGTTTTTGCCAAAAACATTGCCAATCCACGGTCAGGTGATCTCAGCGTGCCACAAACGGTCATAAATGTGAACCGGTTGGCCCAAATTTGATTACGTGATCTTGGCAGGGGAGAGGACGTTGGAAGCCGGTCACTGTGATTTATTACATGCAGTTTCTATGTGCAGTGAGAGATTCTGCACCAGAGACAAATTCCTCGTGTGTCTGATCACATTTGGCCAATAAGAGTATTCTGTTCTGTTTTGTTCTGTTCTGTTCTATTCTATTCTATGCTATGCTATTCTACAATCTATTCTATTCTAACCTATTCTATAATTCTATTCTATCCCATTACATTACATATTTTCTATTCTATTCTATTCTACTCTATTCTATTCTACTGTTTTGTTTTGTTCTGTTCTGTTCTGTATTCTATTCTATTCTCTTCTGTATTGTCTTCTGTTCTGTATTGCCTTCTCTTCTCTATTCTATTTTATTCTATTCCCTATTCTCTTCTGTTCTCTATTCTGTTCAGTTCTCTGTTCTGTTCTTTATTCTGTTCTCTATTTTATTTTGTTCCCTATTCTGTTCTCTCTTCTCTTCTGTTCTCTGTTCTGTTCTTTATTCTGCTCTGTTCTCTATTTTATTCTATTCCTTACTGTTCTGTTCTCTATTCTGTTTTGTTCTATATTCTGTTCTGTTCCCTGTTCTGTTCTCTGTTCTATTTTATTCTATTCCCTGTTCTATTCTGTTCTCTATTCTGCTCTGTGTTCTGTTCTATTCTATTCTATTCTATTCTATTCTATTCTATTCTATTCTATTCTATTCTACTCTACTCTACTCTACTCTACTCTACTCTACTCTCTACTCTACTCTACTCTAACCCTCTTCTCTCCTCTCCTTCCAAACACCAGCTTGCTGGGAGACCTGGCCTCCAGGTAACACTTTTCAGATTCTACCTGCGCTGATCCTATGCAGTGCCACCTCCCTCCACCAGGGGCATCCATAGGGGAAGTCAAAAAGGTTAAGGTTTTTTTGCCCAGAAGGGATGCAGCTGCGGTTGCTAAGCACCGTCGCCATCTTGACTTTTCTGACCCCCTCTGGGGAAGCCCCTGCCTTGCATGCAGCGACCTGATCCCGTCCCTCACCTGCCATCGTTTCCTTCATTTTGTTAACCCCTTCAAACCTTTTCAGCCTTTTCACTCTCAATGATTTACAGGCAGTCCTCGGCTTACGACCGCAACTGAGCCTGTTGCTAAGCGAGATAGTCGTTAAGTGAGTTTCGCCTCACTTTTACAACCTTTCCTGACACAGTTATGAAATGAATCACTGCAGATATTCAATCAGTGACACGGTCGCTAAGCGAATCCAGCTTCCCCATTGACTTTACTTGTCAGGAAGTCGCAAAAGGGGGTCACGTGATCCCAGGAGGCTGAGACCGTCATAAATACGAGTCAGTTGCCAAGCGTCTGAATTTTGATCATTAACCCCAGGATGCTGCAACGGTCGCCAGTGTGAAAAACGGTCCTAAGTCCCTTTTTTTCCAGTGCTGTTGTGACTTCAAACGGTCACTAAACAAACGGTTGTGAATCGAGGACTCCCTGTATTTTCATTTGATTTTGGATGCCAGTTGACTCCAACTAACTCTTAAACCTACAGAATCACAGAATTGAAAGGGACCTTGGAGGTCATCCAGTCCAACCCCCTGCTCAAGCAGGAGATCCCGGCAGAATCACAGAATAACTAGAGGCGGAAGGGACCTTGGAGGTCATCTAGACCAACCCCCTGCTCAAGCAGGAGATCCTGGCAGAATCACAGAATAATTATAGTTGGAAGTTACTTGGAGGTCATCTAGTCCAACCCTCTGCTCAAGCAGGAGCCCGTATGCCATTCAGAATAACAGAATAACACAGTTGGAAGGGACCTTGGAGGTCATCTAGTCCAACCCCCTGCTCAAGCAGGAGACCCTGGCAGAATCACAGAATAACTAGTCGGAAGGGACCTTGGAGGTCATCCAGTCCAACCCCCTGCTCAAGCAGGAGACCCTGGCAGAATCACAGAATAACTAGAGTCGGAAGGGACCTTGGAGGTCATCCAGTCCAACCCCCTGCTCAAGCAGGAGACCCTGGCAGAATCACAGAATAACTAGAGTCGGAAGGGACCTTGGAGGTCACCTAGTCCAACCCCCTGCTCAAGCAGGAGACCCTAGACAAGGGGTAGGCAACCTTGCCTCTTTTATGACTTGTGGACTTCAACTCCCAGAATCCCTGAGTTCAGGAATGGCCGGTTCAGGAATTCTGGGTATTGAAGGTCCACGAGTCATAAAAGAGCCAAGCTTGCCTACCCCTCTGCCCTAGACCATTCCGAATAAGAGAATAACAGGGTTGGAAGGGACCTCGGAGGCCATCCAGTCCAACCCCCTGCTCAAGCAGGAGACCCTTAGGGAATCACAGAATCACAGAGTCTTGAGGATCCAGTGAGTTTTCCTCCCTTAAAAAAAAAAATGCCTTGCCCAGAACTGGCGCCAACCTGGCTTCCCGGGAACCCAGCTTCGGAAGCCCGGAGCAAGGCAGATTCGGCCGCAGCTCCCGGCCTTGAGAGAAGACCCCCACCCCAGAGTTAGGAAGCTGGTGCCTGCCATACCCAGGCCTGGATCCCTCACTCTCCGTCTTTCTTTCCAGCGACGTAGCCGTGGAGCTGCCCTTCACCCTGATGCACCCCAAACCGAAGGAAGAGGCCTTGCACCAAGACGGTGAGATTGTCTGGGGGGGGGGTATGGAAGGGATGGGGGGGGGCTCAGCTGGGCCCCGGGGTTGCAGGGCGGGCCCTGGGTCCAGTTTCAGAGCTGGGCTTGGCCTCTCTCCTCCCCACCCCCCCGATGGCTACGAGAACCGAAGCCTTTTGGGCCGTGCTTCCAGACTACAGAGCAAAGGACCCCCTTCGTCCTTGTCTTACGACGATCCCTTTAGTGACCGTTCGTAGCATTTACGATGGCACTGATAAAAAAGGGACTTCACACGACGGTTGCAGGGTCCCCGTGGTCAAAACTCAGATACCTGGGAACGGGCTTGTGTTTATGACCGTGACAGGGTCCCAGGGGAGTGGGGGGGGGCTGAGAGGGTGTCAACGCGATCCCCTTTTTGTGACCAGCAAGGTCACTACGGAAACCAGATTCACTTAACAAGCGTGTTTCTAGCTTAACCCAGGGGTAGGCAACCTTGGCTCTTTTATGACTCGTGGACTTCAACTCCCAGCATTCCTCAGCCAGCATGGGGAAAATATGGCCCCCTCATGACTCGCAGACTTAAATTCCCAGAATTCCTCAGCCAGCATGGGGGAACTTTGGCCCCTTCATGACTCGTGGACTTCAGCTCCCAGAATTCCTCAGCCAGCATGGGGGAACTATGGCCCTTCATGACTCGTGGACTTCAACTCCCAGAATTCCTGGGCCAGCATGGGGGAACTATGGCCCCTTCATGACTCGTGGACTTCAACTCCCAGAATTCCTCACCCAGCATGGGGGGACTATGACCCCCCTTCATGACTTGGGGACCTCAACTCCCAGAATTCTTGAGCCAGCATGGGGGAACTGTGGCCCCTTCATGACTGGTGGACTTCAACTCCCAGAATTCCTCAGCCAGCCTGGCTCAGCTTGGAAACCTCTCCCTTTCCCCTCAGCATGGCTGGCTCAGGAATTCTGGGAGTTGAAGTCCACGAGTCATAAAAGAGACAAGGTTACCTACCCCTGCCTTAACCGCTGTAGCACCCGAGGTCGTAAAATGGGGCAAAACTCACTTAACAACCATCTTGCTTAGCGATGGATCTTTTAGGCTCCATTGCGGTCATACGTCAAGGACTAGCTGTATTCCAAATTCAGCTTCTGGAAGACGACTTAGTTGTCAGTAGGGCAGGCGGGGGTTCTCCTTCACGCAACCTGGTTAGTACTGTTCCTCCCCCCCTCGAAAGCCTATAAATAATGGCTAATTTCAGCATAATGTCGCTGTGCCATTAGCATGGAAGCCAGAAAGGGGGGGACGGGCTTCTTCTGATGCTGGAGGGGGAGGGGAGGCTGAAGGAGCAGGTTAGCTGGCTGGGGAATGCTGGGAGTTGAAGTCCACCCCTCCTAAAAAGATGAAGGTGTGGAAAGAGGGCTCCCAATCTATGTTTCTGAACCTCAGCAACTTGAAAATGGGTGGATTTCAATTTCCAGAATCCCCCCGCCAGTTGAATGGGAAGATGGGTGGACTTCAACTCCCAGAATCCCCCCGTCAGTTGAATGGGAAGATGGGTGGACTTCAATTCCCAGAATCCCCCCACCAGCTGAATGGGAAGATGGGTGGAGTTCAACTCCCAGAATCCCCCCGCCAGTTGAATGGGAAGATGAGTGGACTTCAACTCCCAGAATCCCCCCGCCAATTGAATGGGAAGATGGGTGGACTTCAATTCCCAGAATCCCCCGCCAGCTGAATGGGAAGATGGGTGGAGTTCAACTCCCAGAATCCCCCCGCCAGTTGAATGGGAAGATGAGTGAACTTCAACTCCCAGAATCCCCCCGCCAATTGAATGGGAAGATGGGTGGACTTCAATTCCCAGAATCCCCCCGCCAGCTGAATGGGAAGATGGGTGGACTTCAACTCCCAGAATTCTCTGGCTGGTTGGAGACTCCTGGGAGTTGAAGTCCAGCCTTCTTAAAATAGCTAAGGTTGGGAAACACTGCTCTAAATCATTGTTTCTCAGCCCCAAGAACTTGGTGGACTTCAACTCCCAGAATTCCCTGGCTGGTTGTGGAATTCTGGGAGTTGAAGTCCCCACCTCTTAAAGTGACCAGTTTTGAAAAAGAAACATGGCCACAGTGCACAGCTTTTTCAAAGGCCTGGATCTGCAAGGGATAGATGAACATCCTCCTGAAAGGACCTCCCTGAGGACTGGTGTCTTGAGAGGGCTGGCGAGTTGAAAAAATCAAGTTGGCCGGGCTGCTGTCCAAGGAAACTGATTGGTTGGCTTTGCTTCTTGGTTTCAGCTCCACAAAACGAAGCTCCCATCGACACAAACCTCATAGAGCTTGACACAAAGTAAGTCAAATGGTGTGCTGGTGCGTCTTTGTGTGTTCGGAAGAGCTGCTCACGGGAAACCTGGATTCTTTGCATGAGAGCTAGTAGCCATTTCAATCCTCTGTCTTCTACAGCAGGGGTCCTCAACCGTGGCCACTTTAAGACTTGTGGACTTCAACTCCCAGAATTCCTCAGCCAGCTTTGCTGGCTGAGGAATTCTGGGAGTTGAAGTCCACAAGTCTTAAAGTGGTCACGGTTGAGGACCTCTGCTCTAAATGAATTAAATCCCAGTCTAATCTTGCTTTCTCCTGATGGGGGCTTCCAAATACATCCAAACCCACAACTCCTGAACATCGTGGGCAGTTCTGGCCGGGAATTATGGGAATTATCACCACCACACCTCTGAAGGGGATCATAGGCCGAACCTTATGCTTGGGATTGGTGTAGGCTCTGTTTACCTTGGCCATTTCCAGGTGTGGGGACTTCAACTCCCAGAATTCTCCTCAATGGCCACAGTGGCTGAGGAATTCTGGGAGTTGAAGTCCACAAGTCATCAAAGGGCCAAATTTGAAGACCCCTGGACTTCAACTCCCAGAATTCCTCAGCCAGGCACGCTGACACTGAAAATGAAAGAGAAAGAAGATTCAGAATAGTTTACAATAGGGGTCTTCAAACTTGGCCCTTTGATAACATGTGGACTTCAACTCCCAGAATTCCACAGCCACCAATTGAATTCTGGGAGTTGAAGTCCATCAATCTTAAAAAGGATCGGAAACATTGCTCTAAAGCAGGGGTCTTCAAACTTGACCCTTCTATGACTTGTGGACTTCAAATCCCAGAATTCCTCAGCCAGCGTGCCTGGCTGAGGAATTCTGGGAGTTGAAGTCCACAAGTCATCAAAGGGCTAAGTTTGAAGACCCCTGTTCTAAAACGACTGGAGAGCCACTTGTCTGGAATAGCGTAGAGATTCCTGCTTGAGCAGGGGGTGGACTAGAAGACCTCCAAGGTCCCTTCCCACTCTATTATTCTGTGATTCTGATTTTTCTAGCCTGCCTTTACACCAGGGCCCTTCAGACTTGGCCCTTTCATGACTTGTGGACTTCAACTCCCAGAATTCCTCAGCCAGGCATGCTGGCTGATGAATTCTGGGAGTTGAAGTCCACAAGTCATCAAAGGGCCAAGTTGGAAGACCCCTGGACTTCAACTCCCAGAATTCCTCAGCTAAGCACGCTGGCTGAGGAGTTCTGGGAGTTGAAGTCCACCAGTCATCAAAGGGCCAAGTTTGAAGGCCCCTGGACTTCAACTCCCAGAATTCCTCAGCCAGGCACGCTGGCTGAGGAATTCTGGGAGTTGAAGTCCACAAGTCCTAAAAGGGCCAAGTTTGAAGACCTCTGTTTTAGAACAAGGGTCTCCAAACCTTGGCTACTTTTAAGACATGTGGACTTCAAGTCCCAGAAAGATGGCTGGGGAATTCTGGGAGTTGAAGTCCACAAGTCTTAAAAAGTAACCACGGTTGGGGACCCCTGTTTTAGACTGGCTAGAAAAATGAGGCAGAGAGAAAGGAGTTTAAAGGAGTGCTAATAAACTAAACACTGGAACCCAGACAATAGGGTGCTGATAAAATAGTCAGGATTTGTGGTGATAAAAAAAATTAATAAAATACTGAACAAGAAAGAAAGAGAGAGAGAGAGAGAGAGAGAGAGAGAGAGAGAGAAGGAAAGAAAGAAGGAAGGAAAGAAAGAAAGAAAGAAAGAAAGAAAGTAAAGAAAGTAAAGAAAGAAAAGTGAATGTCCAACTGAATTCCCTTTCCGCCCTGCCCACAATTCTCCAGTCCCCTGACCCATTTCCTTGTGTCCTCTTTCCCCCCCCCCCCCGCAGTGACGATGACATCGTCTTTGAAGATTTCGCCCGCCAGAGACTCAAATGCATGAAGGACGAGGAAGAGGAGGCCGACGGGACAAACTCGCCCCAGCTGAACGACAGATAAACGGCCCACCTTCCTTCTCCCTTTCCACTCCGAGCCCCCCCCCCACCCCCAGCACTCCCCCTCCTCTTTTTCTATATAGGTTTTTGGAAGTTGCGTTCTTTTTAACACGTTGACCCGGGAGACGGCGAGGAGGTGCGGTCCGTCCCCTTGCAAACACGGGCCTGGGTTCGAGGTCACCGCCCGGTCTGAGTTCTGCGGGCGGGGTCTAAGAACGAAGCTGCGTTGTCCAGCCACGCTTAGGGCATGTGTGGGACTGCATGTGTGTCTCTGTGTGTGTGTGTGTGCCGGGAGGGGCTGATGGTATGACTCCGAGAGTCCTTGGTGCTCTCTGAGCTGGGTGGGGTTTTTTGCAGCTGTTTCGTGACCCAACTAGGGAACATCATCAGTGTTGGAAGGAAGGAAGGAAGGAAGGAAGGAAGGAAGGAAGGAAGGAAGGAAGGAAGGACTGTGGGATCTTTGGTGCTCTCTGAGTTGGGTGGGTTTTTTTGCAGCTGTTTCGTGACCCAACTAGGGAACATCATCAGTGCTGGAAGGAAGGAAGGAAGGAAGGAAGGAAGGAAGGAAGGAAGGAAGGAAGGAAGGAAGGAAGGAAGGACTGTGGGGTCCTTGGTGCTCTCTGAGCTGGGTGGGTTTTTTTGCAGATGTTTCGTGACCCAACTAGGGAACATCATCAGTGCTAGAAGGAACCGGGGGGGGGGTTTGCTCTCTGTTTATGTACCATGATTTGCGCTATCAGTGCTGGTGTGAGTGTTGGTTTCTTGTGAGGTCCTTGGTGCTCGCTGTGCTGGCTTGTTTTCTTGCAGACGTTTCCTGACCCAACTAGGGAACATCATCAGTGCCGTTAAGGTACCAGCAGACGAGAATGCTATCTAGTTGGGTTAGGAAATGTCTGCAAGAAAACAACCCGGCTCAGAGAGCACTAAGGACCCCACAGTCCTCCTCCTCCTCCTCCTCCTCCTGGTCTCTCCTTCTCCACAAACCCCCCTCCCTTATAGCACTGATGATGTTCCCTAGTTGGGTCATGAAACATCTGCAAGGAAACCACCCAGCTCAGAGAAGCACCCAGGACCCCACAGTCTTTCTTTCTTTCCTTCCTTCCTTCCTTCCTTCCTTCCTTCCTTCCTTCCTTCCTTCCTTCCTTCCTTCCTTCCTTCCTTCCTCCTCCTCCCTTCTAGCACTGATGATGTTACCTAGCTGGGTCATGAAACATCTGCAAGGAAACCACCCAGCTCAGAGAGCACCAAGGACCTCACAGTCTGTCCTTCCTTCCTTCCTTCCTTCCTTCCTTCCTTCCTTCCTTCCTCCCTCCCTCCCTTCCTGCCTCCCTCCCTGCCTCCCTCCCTCCCTCCCTCCCTCCCTCTTCCTTCTCCTCCCTTCTAGCACTGATGATGTTCCCTAGTTGGGTCATGAAACATCTGCAAGGAAACCACCCAGCTCAGAGAGCGCCAAGGACACAATTTTCCTCCTCCTCCTCCTCCTCCTCCCTTCTAGCACTGATGATGTTCTCTAGTTGGGTCATGAAACGTCTATAAGAAAGCCATCCAGCTCAGAGAGCACCAAGGACCTCACAGTCTGTCTTTCCTTCCTTCCTTCCTTCCTTCCTTCCTTCCTTCCTTCCTTCCTTCCTTCCTTCCTTCCTTCCTTCCTTCCTTCCTCCCTTCTAGCACTGATGATGTTCTCTAGTTGGGTCATGAAACGTCTGTAAGAAAGCCATCCAGCTCAGAGAGCAGCAAGGACCCCACAGCTCTCTTCCTCCTCCTCCTCCTCCTCCTCCTCTCCACAAACCCCCCTCCCTTCTAGCACTGATGATGTCACCTAGTTGGGTCGTGAAACATGTTAGAGAATTTTAATTTCTCTATTGGTGAAAAATAAATCAGAAGCTCTCACAGCTGACTGCATTTAGCTGATTCAAAATAACGTCTTTATATTCCTATCAAAATATTTGCAATACCATACGTTCTTCTTTACAGCAACATAGCTCAATTGAAGGCTTCTTACAGAGAGATACAGAGACAAACCCGAGACTGGAAATCCAGCTCCTAACTCTTGGGTTCTCAACCTTGGCAACTTTAAGACTTATGGACTTCAACTCCCAGAATTCCTCAGCCAGCTTTGCTGGCTGAGGAATTCTGGGAGTTGAAGTCCACAAGTCTTAAAGTTGCCAAGGTTGAGAACCCCTGTCCTAACTCAATACTCTTTTGCACAGACTCAGTAGCACTTTCTTCCCATTGGCTGACTGAGTTACCACATGACTCTTCCTGCTCATGAATAGTCCAACAAAACATCTGCAAGAAAACCAGCCAGCTCAGAGAGCACCAAGGACCCGCACACAGTCCCCCTCCCCTTCTTCCTCTCCACAAACCCCACTTCCTTTTAGCACTGTTTTTTTTTGTCTGGCAGGTCGATCCATCCTGGTTATCCTGGGTTGAAGAAGCAGAAAGCAGCTCAGTTCCAAAAGAAATCAGTGGTGGTAGTAATATTCAGCTAGTAAGAGAGAGTTACAGAGAAGGGGGACTCTTCCCATGATCCACAGAAGGGGGGGAGAAGGAGAAGGAGGAGGAGGACGATGACGACAATCACAACGACTGTGGGGTGCTTGGTGTTCCTGGTTTTTCTTGCAGACATTTCATAACCCAACCAAGAAACATCATCAGTGCTAGAAGGGGTTTGACAGCAGGAGGAGGAGAAGGAGAAGGACGACGACAATGACAATGACTGTGGGGTGCTTGGTGTTCTCTGAGCTTCCTGGTTTTTCTTGCAGACATTTCATGACCCAACTAAGAAACATCATCAGTGCTAGGAGGGGTTTGACAGGAGGAGGAGGAGGAGGAGGAAGAACACTGATTTAAGCTTTCCCACGTTCCTCCAGCGCTGTTAATCTGGCTGACCTCCGATTTCCAATTCTCCCTCTTCTCCTGACACTCACCCACGACCGAGCGCCACACGTTCCTGGCCACGTGACACCAGATCACAATCTCTTCTCCGGCAGACCCAACTCCCTGGCTGGCATGTTCATGACACACACACACACACACACACACACACACACACACACACACCTCTTTGCAAAAGCCAGGACACAACGAAGCACAAACACCTCCCTCCCTTTCTCAGCTCTTCCAAAATTGCCCCAGGTTTGCCCTCCTCTTCTTCGGGCGAGTGTGGACACTCCGCTCCCCAGTGAGTTGTGTCACTGCCCCCGTCTCCCCCTGTGTGACCAGGGTGTCGTGACTGCACACTTCCGGTCGTCCCGTCCATTCCGGATTTCCTTGCTCGTACAGGTAGCCCTCGACGTGTCGTACGGCCCCAAATTTTGCCCCCAAATTCCGGTTTCTGAGCAAAACGGTCGTTCAAGTGAGTTTTGCTCCATTTTACGACCTTTGTTCCCACGGTTCTTAAGTCGTGAAGCGAGTGACACGGGTGTTAAGTGAATCTGGCTTCCCCTCCGTGGGCTTTGCTTGTCAGAAGGTCACACAAGGGGATCGCCTGACACACACACACACACACACACGGGACACGACAACCGTCATAAATACGAGTCGGTTGTCAAGCGTCCAAATGTGTCGTGCCACGGTCGTTAAGTGTGAAAAACAGTCGTAAGTCACTTTTTTCAGTGCTGTTGTAACTTTGTGGTCACTGAATTGTTGAGGACGACCTGTATTTATTTTTTCAAACCTGACGAGAACATGACCAAAAGAGAAGTAAACATACACACACACACACACACACACAAGCCACATAATTTTGTACAAAACGTTTTGTACACTAGTGATCTCATAACTGGACATTCAGTTCATCTCTCCAGCCAAATGCTTCTTACAGATCTTCTAGAGAATCAGAGAACACACATGGTGGGCAACATATCACACACTATGTTTTGACAGCGTGCACAACCACACCACAATCACAACGAGGGAAATCCTTTCATTTTCCGCTTAGACAGGGCAGAGGGACTTCTTCCAAATATCTCACCTAATTGTTTTCAATTTCATCCAGACGGGTCAAAAAAAAGGTGATTTTGGTGGAGGTAGAGTAGTTAGCCCAAAATTGATGAGGATTGATGAGAATAGAGGAGGTCCTCACTTTATAATGATTCATTTAGTGTCCACTAGAAGTTATAGAAGCACTGAAAAAGAAGCGACTTGTGACTTTTTTTCTTATTTACAATTGTTCAGAACTATAATTTACACCCTCTATAACAGGGGTCTTCCAACTTGGCCCTTTGATGACTTGTGGACTTCAACTCCCAGAATTCCTCAGCCGGGCACGCTGGCTGAGGAATTCTGGGAGTTGAAATCCACAAGTCATCAAAGGGCCAAGTTGGAAGACCCCTGGACTTCAACTCCCAGAATTCCTCAGCCACGCAAGCTGGCTGAGGAATCCTGGAAGTTGAAGTCCACAAGTCATCAAAGGGCCAAGTTTGAAGACCCCTGGACTTCAACTCCCAGAATTCCTCAGCTGGGCATGCTGGCTGAGGAATTCTGGGAGTTGAAGTCCACAAGTCATCATAGGGCCAAGTTGGAAGAGCCCTGCTCTATAATTTACAACCGTTGCAGCGTCTCCGTGGCCATGTGATCAAGATTTAGATGCTTATTTGTGACGGTCACGGCACAAATGTCTCACTTAGCAACGGAAACGTTGGGCTCCCTTGTGGTCGTAAGCTGAGGACTTACCTGTGTTTGCCTTTCTTTGGCCCGTCTGGTGTGTGGCTCTGGGGTCGTTGATCTATGCTCTTCCACTCCAGGGAGATTTTGGGGCTCCCCACTGACCCCCCCCCACCCTCCCCAGGCCGATCGTAGAGTCAAATAGGGATCCAATACAGGGAGTCCTCGCCTTACGACCACAAAAGAGCCCAACATTTAATGTTGCTAAATGAAACCTTGGTGAAGTGAGTTTGCCCCTTTGACGACTTTTTTTTTCTCACTCTTGTTAAGTGAATCATTGCCTTGGTTCAGTTAGTGACACGGTCGTTAAGCGAACCTGCATTCCCCATTCAGTTTGCTTGTCCGAAGGTCGCAAAAGCGGATTGCGTGTCCCCGGGACGCTGCAACTGTCCTAAGTACATGCCAGTTGCCAAGCTTCTGGATTTTGGTGGGGATGCTGCAACCGTCGTTAAGTGGGAAAAGCGGTCCTAAGTCCCTTTTTTCCAGCGCACATTGTAACTTTGAACGGTCACTAAATGAACCGTCGTAAGTCGAGGACTACCTGTGTAGCCAGCCCGGCACTCCCTCCAGCGAACCCAGCCGCCTGCGACCCCTTCACCCTGTCCTCGGCTTGGCTTCTGTTCCTTTCCTGTGACGGTTTGTGTGGTTTTTGTCAAATAAATTATTCTAGTTTATTAATCCGAGCGACGTTCCCGCTTCCCTTGACTGGTGCCCGGTGGGCAGGCGGGAGGGACTGGCCAGCTCTGGGACCAGCCTGGATGAGTGCACAGAATGGAGAGGGAGGGGATGTGGAAGTCGTCACACTCGGCCGCATCACACAACACTTTCTCAAGCCGGTTCTAAAGGCGGCCTCCGCACACCGTGCTAAACCTGGTTAGCTTCCATCTTGGTTTCTTGTTTCTTTTTTCTAGCAAGTTGGGCTCAGTTAGGGGGTTACATTATTCTCCAAAGCGCCTGAGGGCAGGACGAGAAACAAGGGTTGGAAACTGACCTAAGGGAGAAGCAACCTGGAATTAAGGAGTAACTTCCTGACAGTGAGGACAATTAACCAGTGGAACTCCTTGCCACCAGACATTGTAGGAGCTCCATCACTGGAGGCTTTTAGGAAGAGACTGGACAGCCACTTGTCTCAGATGGCATAGGTTCTCCTGCTTGGGCAGGGGGCTGGACTAGAAGACCTCCAAGGTCCCTTCCAGTTCTATTCTATTCTATTCTATTCTATTCTATTCTATTCTATTCTATTCTTAACCTGGAATTAAGGAGAAATTTCCTGACAGTAAGGACAATTAACCAGTGGAACTCCTTGCCACCAGATGTTGTGGGAGCTCCATCACTGGAGGCTTTTAGGAAGAGACTGGACAGCCACTTGTCTCAGATGGCATAGGTTCTCCTGCTTGAGCAGGGGGGGCTGGACTAGAAGACCTTCCCAGGTCCCTTCCAGGTCTATCCTATTCTATTCAGACGGTTTCAACCTTAACTGCTTGAAGGTGAGTGGACCAACTCCCAGAATTCCCCAGCCAGCCACGGAAAGAGGTGGGAACCAGGAGAGGACAACTGGGAAACTGAGGCAGGGCCATACTGACACCCCACACCCAGTTTTTCTGTACAGGAAACCGCACAAATGCTACACGAAAGCCCTTTCCGGTTCCTCCAACACAAGGCTCCACATATTCTTTGACACACTTGCATGCAGGGATTCTGGAATGAGTTGAACAGACTGGATGGTACATCTGTCAAAAATGGTGTAAGATCTCCTCCATGGGCAGGCGGTTGGACTAGATGACCTCAAGGGTGCCTTCCAATTCTTGTTATTCTCTTGTACTTGTATGGGCACACTTGTGACCAGGGGTTTAAACTCAGGCCATCCTCAGCTTACAGCCACAACTGAGCCAGCTGCTAAACGAGACAGCCGTTAAATGAGTTTTGCCCCATTTTATGACCATATGGAATGGAATAGGATAGGATAGGGCAGGGCAGAATAGAATAGAAAATGGAATAGAATAGAATAGAAGTAGAGTAATGATAAGAATGGAATGGAATGGAATGGAAAGAATAGAATAAAGAACAGAATAGAATAGAAAATGGAACGGAATGGAATAGAATAGAATAGAATGGAATGGAAGTAGAGTAATGATAAGAATAGAATATAGACTAGAATTAGAATAGAATGGAATGGAATAGAAAAATTAGAATAGAATAGAATAAAGAACGGAACAGAATAGAATAGAAAATAGAAATGAATAGAATAGAAGTAGAGTAATGACAAGAATAGAATATAGAATAGAGTTAGAATAGAATAGAACAGAATAGAAAGGAATGGAATAGAATAGAATAGAAAAATTAGAATAGAATAGAATAAAGAACGGAATAGAAAATGGAATAGAATAGAATAGAAGTAGAGTAATGATAAGAATACAATATAGACTAGTTAGAATAGAATAGAACGGAATAGAGTGGAATGGAAAAATTAGAATAGGATAGAATAAAGAACAGAATAGAAAATGGAATAGAATAGAAATAATGATAAGAATAGAATATAGAATGGAATGGAATGGAATGGAATAGAATAGAAAAATTAGAATAGAATAGAATAGAATAGAAAATAGAATGGAATGGAATAGAATAGAATGGAATAGAATAGAATAGAATAGAATATGGAATAAAATATAGAATGGAATAGAATAGAATAGAATAGAATAGAATAGAATAGAATAGAATAGAATAGAATAGAAAAATTAGAATAGAATAGAATAGAAAAATTAGAATAGAATAGAATAGAATAGAATAGAAAATAGAATGGAATAGAATAGAATAGAATAGAATAGAATAGAAAAATTAGAATAGAATAGAATAGAATAGAAAATAGAATGGAATAGAATAGAATAGAATAGAATAGAATAGAATAGAAAAATTAGAATAGAATAGAATAAAGAACGGAATAGAAAATTGAATAGAATAGTAGTAGAATAATGATAAGAAGAGAATATAGAATAGAATTAGAATGGAATGGAATGGAATAGAATAGAAAAATTAGAATAGAATAGGATAGAATAAAGAACAGAATAGAAAATGGAATAGAATAGAATAGAAGTAGAGTAATGATAAGAATAGAAGAGAATGTAGAACAGAAGAGAATAGAAAAATAGGATAGAGAGCTGGAAAGGGCCCTTGGAGATCTTCTAGCCCACCCCCACCTCCCACCCCCGCTCAAGCAGGAGAACCTACACCCATATAGCAAGAAAGGTGGTAAAAACGGGGCAAAACCCACTTAGCCACCGTCTCACTGAGCAACCGAAACGTTGGGCTCCGCGGCGGTCGTAAGTCGAGGATTCCCCGCGTCCAAGGAGGGCGGAAAGCGCTGCCCTCCTTTTCCGAGGCAGCGACGGGAGGCAAAGGGTTAAGTGGGCGTGGCTCCGGGGACCGGCGCTCCTCCTTCTCCAACCCGATGGCCGCAACGTGGGCAGCTCCGTGCCCGGGGGGCGCCCGCGGGCCACCCCGATGATTCGGCAGCTTCCGGGCCGCTTTTGTGCAACGGCCCCGGCTCGTCGGGACCCTCCGCGGATGACTCCCCGTCCGGGTCCGCAACTCCCCCGCTTCCTTGGCCGGCAAGATCCGCCTCTGCGACTTGCAGCGGTGCAAGGCCGCCCCCTTCGGCTTTTCCTGCCTGCAAGCCCCCCCCGTCCCGCCCCGTGAATCCCCCCGCCCCCGCTCACCCGGCTGCTAGGGCCGCCTTGAGCCCCGAGGGCTCCGCCGGGCGGTAAGTGGCAAGCAAAAGGGGTGCTGGGGGGGGACGGGACGGAGTGGGCACCACCCAGCGATCCCTCCCCCTTTCGGGTCCTCCCTGCGCCCTTTTTTTTTAATCCTGCAAATTTTGCATTTCAAGAAGGACCTACGGGGAGTTTCTCGACTTACAACGGCCCGTTTAGTGACGGTTCAAAGGAAAACAAGGGGATTTAGGACCGTCTTTCGCACACACAACCGATGCAGCGTTTCCCCCCCCCCCCCGGTCGTGGGATTGTGGCAGGAAAAATTCCCATAATAGGAGAAGCCCAAATTACGCAAGATGAGCTGGTTTGGGGGGGGGAGGAGGGAGAGGGGGGGAGAAAAGGGGTCCAAAGTTTGGAAAGATCAGCCAATAATTGCCGGAGCGTTTTGCTGGACTGCAAAAGAGGAGGGGGGGGAGAGAGAAAAGAGAATCTAAAAGTTTAAAATAGATCTTTCCCAACGTTGGCCGTGTTCTCCGAAGCACCAGAAGGCAGGACAAGAAGCGACAGATGGAAACTGATTAAGGAGATGTTGAAGGAAAAGGCTTCGGCGTGGTTCAGTCCAAGCCGGGAATAAACAAACACGGGGACTGCTTTAGAAAGAAAGTTGCAATTTATTGAAGGGGAGAGCCAGACAGGACAATGGCTGTGGAAGAAGAGAGAAAGAGAGAGAAAAAGGGGCTGAACACATGTGGGGAGTGGGTTTTTATACCCTCTGGAGCAGTGGTTCTCAACCTGTGGGTCGGGACCCCATTTGGGGTCCAACGACCATTTCACGGGGGTCGTCAAACAACGCAGTCCGCCATTTTTTCCCCCCTTTTCCTTAGCTGTGCTACTCCCTTTTCTTCTATTGGCTTTTGAAAGCCAATAGAATAGACTCTCTTGAATAGAGTCTAATTCGATTGGCTTTCAAAAGCCAGTAGGAATTGTCCAGGCTGTCTCTGCCCTGCTGAGCCCGCCAAAAGTCCCATTCTGCAAACGGTGCTGCCCCAGTTGAGTAGTCCTCGATTTACGACCGGTTGAGTAATCCTCGATTTACGACCGGTTGGGGGGGTCGAGGCATTAAAAAGGTTGAGAACCACTGCTCTTTTTTCTGTTTTCTGTTCTGTTCTATTCTGTTTCATTCATTCCATTCTATTTTATTCTATTCTCACTAAACCAGTGGTTCTCAACCTTTTTAATGCCGCGACCCCCCAACTGGTCGTAAGTCGAGGACTACTCAACCGGTTGTAAGTCGAGGACTACTCAACTGCTGCAGAATGGGACTTTTGGCGGGCTCAGCAGGGCAGAGACAACCTGGACAATTCCTATTGGCTTTTGAAAGCCAATAGAATTAGACTCTATTCAAGAGAGTCTATTCTATTGGCTTTCAAAAGCCAATAGAATAAAAGGGAGTAGCACAGCTAAGGAAAAGGGGGGAAAAATGGCAGACTGCGTTGTTTGGTGACCCCCGTGAAATGGTCGTTCGACCCCAAATGGGGTCCCGACCCACAGGTTGAGAACCACTGCACTAAACTAAGCCAGCTAGCTGTGCTTGACCACACCTATAAGTGGGCCACCACTGGCCCTCAGCTTGCAGCCGTGCGCTTAGCGACCGCTTGTAGTTGCAACGGCAAGAAAAAAGGGACGTATCCCCAATCCTCGCACTTATGAGGGTTTTTTTTTCCCCTCTTCTCTTCTTTTTTCCTTCCTCCGGGAATTCTCCCGCCTTCAGAGGAGATGGCTAAGGATCCACGGGGCCTTGTGCAGATGACCCTCTTCTCCCAGAAAAAGTATGGGGAGAGGACAACTTACCGCATCCCGGCTCTGCTCTACCAGCCTTCGGAGTCCCTCTTCCTGGCCTTTGTGGAGCAACGCTCCTCGCCCCGGGACGAGGACGCCAGGTTCCTGATGCTGAAACGCGGATACAGAGAAGGTGTCTGCGTTAAGGTAACCCTGCAGCCCCAAAGTAGCCCCGATCCTCCAGATCTGTCCCCAGGTAAGTCCTCAGTTTACGACCACAATTGAGCGCAAGATTTCTCTCGCTGAGCGAAGCACTGCCCCATTTTAGGACCTTTCTTGCTGTTAAGTGAATCATCGCAGTGGCTCAGTTAGTAACACGGCCGTTAAATGAATCCGGGTCACCCGTTGACTGTGCTTGTCGGAAGGTCGCAAAAGGGGAATCATGGGACACACACATACCCCGGGATTCTGCGACCGTCATAAATATGAACCAGATTGCCCAGCGTCTGAATTTGGATCACGTGACCAAAGGGGAGGTCGCAAGGGTTGTAAGCGTGAAGGAGGACGGCCGTACGTCGCTTTTTTCAGCGCTGTCATAACTTTGAATGGCCCCGAAGCGAATTGTTATAAGTCGAGGACTATCTATACAGTGTCTGTAATCTTCCCGGTCAGCTTCCCAGTCAATGGGGGAATACAGATTTGCTTAATGACGTGGGATTCACTTAATGGCCCTTAGCAAAAGAGGTTGCGGAATTGGGCACGATTCGCTTCACCATCGCCTCACTTAGTGACGCAAGTTCTGGCTTTAATGGTGGTTGTAAGCCAAGGACTGTCGGTCCCTTTTCCAGGGTCAGCAGGATGGTTTCACAATTCTGTTTTAAAAAAAAGAAAAGAAAAAAAGATCGTTAGCTGTTAGCTAAATCTGTATTTCTCCCTTCTGTGGATGGGCAGGATTTGCAAAATGTACGCTCTCTTGTTTTTCTTTGCATTCTAACGGTTGCTGGAATTGGGTATGTCTAGTTCAGGGGCAGGCAACCTTGGCCCCTTCATGACTTGTAGACTTCAACTCCCAGAATTCCTGAGCCTGCATGGTGGAACTATGGCCTCTTTATGCTTGTGGACTTCAACTCCCAGAATTCCTCAGCCAGCATGGGAGAAACTTTGGCCCCTTCATGAATGGGGGACTTCAACTCCCAGAATTCCTGAGCCAGCATGGCTTAGCTTGGAAACCTCTCCCTTTTCCCTCAGCGTGGCTGGTTCAGGAATTCTGGGAGTTGAAGTCCACAAATCATAAAAGAGCCAAGGTTGCCTACCCTTGGTCTAGTTTAATGAAGAGAAGGACGAGGGGGGACATGATAGCAGTCTTCCAATATCTCAGGGGCTGCCCCAAAGAAGAGGGAGTCAAGCTATTCTCCAAAGCGCCTGAAGGCAGGACAAGAAGCAACGGAGGGAAACTAATCAAGGAGAGAAGCAACCTAGAACTAAGGAGAAACTTCCTGACAGTTAGAACAATTAACCAGTGGAACTCCTTGCCTCCAGGAGCTGTGAATGCTCCAACACTGGAAGTTTTTAAGAAGAGACTGGACAGCCATTTGTCCAAAATGGTATAGGGTTTCCTGCCTGAGCAGGGGGTGGACTAGATGACCTCCAAGGTCCCTTCCAACTTTATTATTATTTTTATTATTATTATTATTATTATTGGTGATGGTGATGATGACGATGATTAGATTAGAAGTTTCATGGCAGTTCTGATGGAGAGACTTCCACAAAACAGGATATTTTTATCCTGCCTCTGCTATTTTTACAAATAATTCCAGGCGGAAAAGATGCCGAACACACCTTCCTTCTGCTATTTTCCTGACCATGACAACAACAACCCTATGTGGTGGGCTGAGAGATAGTGATGATGATGATGATTATTATTATTATTATTATTAGCCGTCCTATCTTAGAGCAACTACGATGATCCAAGGCCTGGATCATACAAAGTTGGAATTGATTGATTGACCTTCCCCCCCCCAAAAAAAAAAACTGCTGCAGGACTTGGGTTTGGCTAGAAGAAATAGGGGAGATGATAGCAGTGTTTCGGTATCTGAGGGGCTGCCACAAAGAAGAGAGGGTCAGGTTGTTCACCAAAGCACCAGAAGGAAAGATGAGAAACAAGTGTTGGAAACTGAACAAAGAGAGAAGCAACCTGGAATTAAGGAGAAAGTTCCTAACAGTGAGGACAATTAACCAGTGGAACAGCTTGCCACCAGAAATAGTGGGTGCTCCATCACTGCTCCAAGGTCCCTTCCAGCTCTATTCTATTCTATTCTATTCTATTCTATTCTATTCTATTCTATTCTATATTCTGTCCTATCCTATCCTATCCTATCCTATCCTATCCTTAACCTGGAATTAAGGAGAAATTTCCTGACAGTGAGGACAATTAACCAGTGGAACAGCTTGCCACCAGAAATCGTGGGCATTCCATCACTGGAGATTTTCAAGAAGAGGCTAGACAGTCACTTGTCTGAGATGGTTTAGGTTCTCCTGCTTAAGCAGGGGGCTGGACTAGAAGACCTCCAAGGTCCCTTCCAGCTCTATTCTATTCTAAATTAGGCAAGGATCAAAAGCCCTTAAGTGAGTTGCAGTTGCGTTTTCGGTTCCCCATTGTCCAGAACTGAACTCCCACAGCACCAGCATAACCTTTTCATGTCCCCAAATTGGTGGATCATCACCTTCCCATTTAGCCGAGTGTGCAGGACACAAACACTCCATCGGTGTTGGATGTTGGGGAAAGGGTGTGGAAGTGGAGTTGTGTTTCAAGTTCAGCCAAAAATAAACGGCATGCGCATTCCCAGTGAGTTAGTTAGCCTCCAAAATTAAAAATATAACCTTTTTCTAGCACTTGGCTAGCAGCAAAATCCAACAAAATTATCTACAAACAGGGGTCTTCAAACTTGGCAACTTTAAGACTTGTGGACTTCAACTCCCAGAATTCCTCAGCCAGCTTCTTGATCTATAGTATAGAGAGGAAGCTTCGCTGGTGGTGATAGACAGTCTAAGGGAGTCCTTGGCTTATGACGAAAATTTCCATTGCTAAATCAAGACATTATGTGAGTTTTGCCCCTGCTCAAGCAGGAAACCCTATCCCATTTCTGACAAATGGCTGTCCAGACTCTTCTCAAAAGCCTCCAGCGATGAAGCACCCACAACTTCTGGTGGCAAGTCGTTCCACTGGCTAATTTTTCTCACTGTCAGGAAATTCCTCCTCAGTTCCAGGTTGCTTCTCTCCTTGATTTGTTTCCCTCTGTTGCTTCTTGTCCTGCCTTCAGCTGCTTTGGAGAAGAGGTGGACCCCCTCTTCTTTGGGGGCAGCCCCTCAAATATTGGAACTCTGCTATCATGTCACCCCCAGTCCTTCTCTCCATCAAACCAGACATGCCCAGTCCTTAATTCAGACTTATTTTGACCCTCCGTCTCCTAGTGGGGCCATCCCGTGCAGCTGAGGACAGCTGGAATGCCCAACCATCGCACCATGAACCCTTGCCCGGTTTACGACAAGAACAACGACGTGATATTCCTCTTCTTCATCTGCGTGAAGACCAGTGTTTCGGAACAATGTCAGCTTTGGGGGCGGAGAAACGCCGTCCGACTGGGCTACATCACCAGCCACGATGGCAGCCGCAACTGGAGCACGATGACCGATCTGACCGAGGAGCTGATGGGCGACGCTGAGGCGAGCAAGTGGGCTACCTTCGCGGTGGGACCAGGCCACGGGGTGCAGCGGAGTTCAGGAGACCTGGTGATCCCAGCCTACGCCTACCACGTCTACAAGTCGTGCTTTGGCTTGTCCTTCCCGTGGTGGGTCAAGCCCCATTGCTTCAGTTTCTACAGCAGCGACGGTGGGCAGACGTGGCGTCGGAGTGAGCTCCTCAAATCCCTGAAGACCACCGAGTGCCAGGTGGCCGAGGTGACCTGTCAGGACAACAGGAAGGTGTTGTATTGCAATGCCCGAAGTTTGCACCAATTCCGAGGTGTGGCCTACTGCACGGAGGATGGACACCGCTTCGCGGATTATGCCCTCTGCACGCAGTTAAGCGAACAGCCCCTTGGGTGTCAAGGAAGCGTCGTGAGCTTCTTTCCCTCAGATCAGGGCCAAAAGGAGGATCCAGGTGGCTCAAGATCTCCGATGGATGCGTCTCCATCTTCTGCTTCACCCGGGCGTTCCAACCACACCTGGTTGATGTTCTCCCATCCCACCAGCAGGAAGAAGCGGGAGGATCTGGGCATCTACCTGAATCCTTCTCCGATGGAGCAGAGCAGCTGGTTGTCCCCTTGGATCCTCCATAAAGGACCCAGTGGCTACTCGGATCTGGCTGTGTGTGACGACGGGGAATCGCCCACGTTCGCTTGCATATTTGAGTGTGGAGAGTCCAAGGAGTACGAGGAGATTGCGTTCTACATCTTCACTCAGGAGGAGCTCATGAAAAACGTGTTCCCCGTTAAGCCGCCGACAGCCAAACTTACTACCAAGCACTTGAAAGAATCGTGGAAAACTGGGTGAGATTTTACTTTCTCTCTACCCCAAGTAGTTTCCCTGTTGAAAAGGGAAACTGTTTTGAAAATCGATCCCCTTCTGAGGAGAGAGGGAAGGGAACGCCGTCACCCCACCCTAAAATGGCGGCTTCTGCTTACCCAGAAGAAATAAAGCTTTGAGAAAAATTAACTTACCCCAACGGGATATCTGTCTGCTGTTTGGAATTTGGGGACCCAAAAAGTTCCTGTTTCTCATTGGAATCTGCTACTTTGCCTTATTTGTAAAAAGAACTTAAACCAAAATGACTAGAGCAGTGGTTCTCAACCTGTGGGTCGGGACCCCATTTGGGGTCGAACGACCATTTCACGGGGGTCGCCAAACAACGTAGTCTGCCATTTTTTCCCCCTTTTCCTTAGCTGTGCTACTCCCTTTTCTTCTATTGGCTTTTGAAAGCCAATAGAATAGACTCTCTTGAATAGAGTCTAATTCTATTGGCTTTCCAAAGCCAATAGGAATTGTCCAGGCTGTCTCTGCCCTGCTGAGCCCGCCAAAATTCCCATTCTGCCAACGGTGCTGCACCAGTTGAGTAGTCCTCGACTTACGACCGGTTGAGTAGTCCTCGACTTATGACCGGTTGGGGGTCGCGGCATTAAAAAGGTTGAGAACCACTGGACTAGATAGAAAAGAAATATTATATTGATGTGATCATTATTTCTAGGAATATTGGGGGGGAAAAATCATATATGTAACTGTTATTTATCAGAATAATAAGAACGCTATTATTTCAAGGTTTGCAAAAAAGACATTTTGGGGAAAAGGGGAAATCGACTAAATGTACTATGTGGATTATGGATTGTAGTATATAAATGTACTACGTGGATTATAAAAGCATAATTTAGTTCTGCTTTCTGGCCAGAAACGCCTCGTAGATTTGCATCGTGACTGGAGCGTTTGCTTTACAATCATGAAGTTCGCTTAAGGACCACCACATACGTCATAAAATCGGTCAGGGTGATGTGACGACCCACTGAACCATCCCAGCTTCTGTCCATAATTGCCAGTTAGAGTCGTAAGTCAAGGACTGCCGGTATAGACGAAATGTCATCCTGCCATTTCCCATTTAAACGTTATCTCCTTTACATTTCCAAAATGGCGGTGCCTTGCTTGACTGCGGCAGCTTTAGCTCTCAAGGGTGTTGAAGTTTTGGAGGTGAAATTGACATCCGGTTTGAGGGATTCTGTGGGAACTGCCACAAGAAAGCAGAATTGTACTACTAAACTGGTTTATGACCCGCCAGTCCACATTGGATTTGGAATTATTTGTCAATAGTTCCCCTGTTGATGAAGCTATTCTGGAGAGTCTGCCTTGCTTCGGATCACTTTGGTTGAAGGTGCCGGCAGCACAAATGTTGTGGGTTGTGCATAGGGTGTGAGATCAGCTGGAATCTCTGAAAGTGCCTGGGGGGGGCGGGGGACAGAGGAAAGTGTGATGACACAGGGCCCAGCACAGAGGCAATGCAGTCAACTGGCAATTCAAACCACCCTTGAATTGCTCCAAATTTTCCCCAAATGCTCCCACGTTTCTGGCAGGCCTCCAAACCAAGGAAGACACACCCCTTCAGCTGCCTCTGGCTGCAAGTAGTTTCACACACAGTCTGATTAGGAGAGGAATTTACTCAAGGCCACGGAGATCACAAGGAATGACACATACATCATAAACCTAAGGAGTCTGTGTGAATACAAGTTTGCCTGAGCAGTTTCAAAAGAGGAGCCAAAATGGACTGTATTGAACATCCAAGCAACATTGTCAGAGTTTCCAGGTTTCCCAGCAGAAGTCACAGAACAAGAGATCAGCAACAATACACAAGACTCCAAGGAATCACTGTTTTTTCCCGACAAATGCCTCTCCCCACAGCGTCTCCTTAAGTCTCAGTCTCCAGGTGTGCCTTGTGGAGAGGAGTGGGGCGCTCTCCTCCCGAGTAGTTGAGCCTAAGTAGTTGAGCCTGCCTGCGTTGTTCCCTCCTTCTCTCCACTCTCCGTGCTCTAGGATCAGGTGGGGGTGGCCCTTGCTCATCGCCTTGTGGAGGAATTTGCACCTGCAGCAAACTGCCATGCATTGCCCCCCACAAACCTCATAACCTTTTGATACCCTTTGTCCCAAGGAAGCAGCCAAAAGATCACCCCCTTTTGACTTAATATCTTACCTACCTAAATAATAAGTTCCCCCTTATCTCTTCCTGTCTTGATCTCTTCTTGTCTTTATCAGTTCTTTCTCCTTTTCTAATTTACCTGTATTTGTTTTACCTGCTCTCAACAGGTAATGTGTTACTAGAAAATAATTGCTTATATGAAGGAATTTTTCAATTACTTTATGTCAACAACTAAAGGTTAAACTTCTAAATGTAAAATGTCAGCAGTTAATGGTAAAGCCTATGTATGTAAAAAGTGTATAAGAAACAATAAACTCAGAGTTGAAGCAGCTGTGTGAAGCTGTGTCATGCAGCTTCAAAACCTCTGCTCAAGACATGCCTGAGTCTTTTTCTTAGCATCGTTACATCGCCTGTCTCTGTTTATCCTGTCCCCATCCTGAAGGCCCCTGGCCTGCCTCGGCCTGCTCTTTCCCACATTCCTCTGAAGCTACAGACACCTCTCCCTCGACCTCCATAGGGTCCCGTTCCAGTTTATTTTCCTCCACACATTCAGGCTCCGATGGAGGCATGACAGCAAGTGGAGTCGACACTGTGCCCGGCCTTTTCGGAGATGGAGGCAGAGGGTAACGGCAGATTTGACCGCAGGGAAGTGTCCAACTGACGCCGTTTGGAACCAGGCCGCAGAAGTGGCGGGCAAGCACCTCACGCACGCGTCCCTACTTGTGCAAGAAGCCGACAAGCTTGGGCGCACGTGGTCCATTTGCCCACCGCTTGTGCAGATGAAGCTGCATGCGCGTGCTTGCCCACCACACGTACACAACTGTTCCCTCTCCCCGCCCCACCAGTCCACCAAGCTGGAAAGGTTGAGGGACTCTGGTGTGAACATTGATAAAAGCAGCAGGCCCAGAGAATATCCCTGGGGCGTGTTTTGAGTGTGCAAATGAGTGTGCAAACGGATATTTTCAATCTTTCATTGCAGCAGGCAGCAGGCAGTGGTTCCATCGTGTTTTAAGACGGCCATTATGTTGCCGGTGCCAAAAAAAAAAAGTCTACAATCACGGGTTTAATTATTATCGTCCGGTTGCACTTACGTCCATCATGATGAAATACAGGTGAAACTCGAAAAATTAGAATATCGTGCAAAAGCTCATTTATTTCAGTAATGCAACTTAAAAGGTGAACCGAATATATGAGATAGACGCATTACATGCAAAGCAAGAGCAGGGTCCACAAGATTGTGTGGAACACTACACATCCTCTTCACGGCCTGTTTTCCTGGTTACCTTCTGGGAGGGGGGGGGGCTCCTTGGTACCCAAAGCAAAGCATCCAGATTCAGTCGCAGTTTTGTCCCATATAGTATTAACCTTGTGAATTCTCAATCTTCCTCTTTCCATTATGTATTCAAGATGGACAGTGATTAATATGTGTGTGTGTTTGTGTTTGTATAGTGTGTGCGTGTGTGTGTGTGTGTGTGTGTGTGTGTGTGTTTTATATTTGGAGACCGGGCATCAAAATCTCATTTTTTACTGCGTGCCAGTGTGTTCACAGAAAAAAGTATACAATAAGGATTATCTTATCTTTAGCTCAAATGCGGACAGCTACAGTACTTTAATTTTGGAGAGATCTGAACCTAAATCTGAATTTAGTGACATAAAACATGTCTTTTAAGCCAAAAGTTTGATTATTTCATCGCATTCCTGCCAAAGATTAAAAAAAAAAGTTCGTCTCCATTTACAATCTCCAACCCTATTAAACGATGAGAAGTTATATATGAGATTATAATTGAGTGGAGGTTGCCAAGACATATTTTCTTTATGAATATAAGTAAAAAAAATTGTAATGCTAACTGGAGTGACTGCCAAATTATCTAGGCGTGCCAAAGACTCATTTTGGTTTGCGGCAGTTTTGCGACTATCATCTATTTCACATAAATAGTAAGATTGACTTCACTGTCTCACTTAGCAACAGAAACATTAGACTCAATTGTGGTCATAAGTCAAGGACTCCCTGTATTTAAATTCCTCCGTATATTCCTAAATATATATACAATGTTTGTGGTCAAGGAAAGCATTTAAGACAGGGGTCTTCAAACCTGGCCCTTTTATGACTTGTGGACTTCAACTCCCAGAATTCCTCAGTCAGCATGGATGGACTTCACCTAAAATTCCTGTCGGCATGGATGGACTTCAACTCCCAGAATTCCCCAGTCAGCATGGATGGACTTCAACTCCCAGAATTCCTCAGCCAGGATGCTTTAAGACAGGGGTCTTCAAACTTGGCCCTTTTATGAGTTGTGAACTCCAACTCCCAGAATTCCCCAGTCAGCATGGATGGACTTCACCTAAAATTCCTGTCAGCATGGATGGACTTCAGCTCCCAGAATTCCCTAGTCAGCATGGATGGACTTCAACTCCCAGAATTCCTCAGCCAGTATGGGGGAACTTTGGCCCCTTCAGGACTGGTGGACTTCAACTCCCAGAATTCCTGAGCCAGCATGGGGGAATTATGGCCCCTTTGTGACTTCTGGACTTCAACTCCCAGAATTCCTCAGCCAGAATGCTTTAAGACAGGGGTCTTCAAACTTGGCCCTTTTATGAGTTGTGGACTTCAACTCCCAGAATTCCTCAGCCAGCATGCCTGTGACCTTCCCAGCCGGCTTCCGACAAGCAAAGCCAACGGGAAGCCCACTTACTGACCCTGTGATTCGTTTAACGACGGCAGGGATTTGCTTAACAATCGAGGGGAAAAAGGCAAAATTGGACACGACACACTTAACCGTTACTAACTTGTCGACTGCAGTGATTCACGTAACAACGGTGGCAAGAAAAGTCGTAAAACGGGGGCCAGACTCACCGAAACGTCTCCCTTAATCACGAGACGCGTCGGTCGTACGTCGAGGACTCCCTGTCCCGGCTCACCACTGCAACACCTCCGAGTGGCCGCTAGGGGGCCACAGGCGAGCTGTCTCTTTCCATACGAGCCGCATTCTCTCGCCTTTCGCGAACGGCGGCGCCCTTTCCTCGCGTGGCGCCCGTGTCTACGGGTCTGAGGCAGCCCGTGCACACGTGCACAGTGCATCTCGCGAACCGCGCGGCGGCTCGGCCAGGAAAACCGATGCAAGAGCAGAATCGGCGCCTAGCAACGTGTTCGTGGCATAAGAGGTTCTCGGACCGTTTCTGCGGCAAATCCGGACGTCCGGATTTCTGCCCGGGCGCCCACCCCTCCCCCTCCCCCCCGGCGATCCTCGCCCTCCTCCCTCTCCCCCCCCCCGGTTTTTCCTGTTTTTCAACTTCAAGGCGCTTCGCGATGCGCTGCAGGGTGGAGGCCGGCGCCCGCGGGCGCCCGGGTAGGCGCCCTTCCTCCCCGTCCCGCTAACTCCGCGGCTGCTGGGCCCGGCGGGTGGGGCCCCGCGGGAGCCCCACCTCGATCCGGTCGAGCAGGCTTCCCGGAGGAGGCGCTGCGGAGCGGAGAAGGGGACGGAAGAGAGAGCGGGGAGTTTCGGCGTTGGCGATCCTGGCGCGGAGCGCTTGCAGCAGAGGCCGCGGGTCTGCAACGCTGTGAGCGGGGGGAGGGGGGGAATCCCCGGCGGGAGGAGAGGGAGGGGAAATGAGGGAGAGGGGAGGGGGAAGCCTGGGGGAGGGGAAAGAGGGGGTTCAGGGGGAGGGGGAATCCTGGGGGAGGGGAAATGAGGGAGGGGGAGGAGGATTTCAGGGGGAGGGGGAATCCTGGGGGAGGGGAAAGAGGGTGTTCAGGGGGAGGGGGAATCCTGGGGGAGGGGAAATGAGGGAGGGGCAGGAGGATTTCAGGGGGAGGGGAAAGGGGGGGTTTAGGGGGAGGGGGAATCCTGGGGGAGGAGAAAGAGGGAATTTAGGGGGAGGGGTTACCTTGGGGGAGGGGAAAGGGGGGGTTCAGGGGGAGGGGAAAGAGGGGGTTCAACGGGAGGGGGAAGCCTGGGGGAGTGGAAACGGGGTTTCGGGGGAGGGGGAAGCCTGGGGGAGGGGAAAGAGGGCCTTCCGGGGGAGGGGGAAGCCTGGGGGAGGGGAAAGAGGGCGTTCCAGGGGAGGGGGAAGCCTGGGGGAGGGGAAAGAGGGGGTTCTGGGGGAGGGGGAAGCCTGGGGGAGGGGAAAGAGGGGGTTCCATGGGAGGGGAAAGAAGGGGTTCAACAGGAGGGGGAATCCTGGGGGAGGGGAAAGAGGGGGTTCAGGGGAGGGGAAAGAGGGGGTTCAGGGGGAGGGGAAAGAGGGGGTTCCAGGGAAGGGGAAATCCTGGGGGAGGGGAAAGAGGGGATTCAGCGGGAGGGGGAATCCTGGGGAGGGACAGAGGGAACTCCGGGGGAGAGGAGCAGCAATCCTGTGGGAGTGGAGTGGGGGGGGAGGAGGAGGAGGAGTCCTGGGGGGAGGGGAAAGGAGAAACCTGGGGGAGGGATAGAAGGAATTCAGGGAAAAATGAAGTTCTGGGGAAGGGGAGAAACTAGACGGAATCCTCAGGGAGGCGTGTAGAAAACACCAGCTCCTTTGCATCCTGAAGGAGGGGGGTGCGAACATGACCCCCAATTGCAGAAGGCTGCTTTGCCCTACTTCCATGGGATGGAGGGGGCTGCTTCTTCCCCCTCCCCCCCCGCATGATGCAATGGGCAGGAAGGGGTGAAAGGAACGATCCAGAGCAGGGGTCTTCAAATTTGGCCCCTTCATGACTTGTGGACTTCAACTCCCAGAATTCCTCAGCCAGCATGGCTCAGCTTGGAAACTTTCCCCCTTTCCCCTTAGCATGGCTGGCTCAGGAATTCTGGGAGTTGAAGTCCATGAGTCATAAAAGGGCCAAGTTTGAAGACCCCCTGTTGTAAACCGTATTGCTCAACCTCAGGAACTTGGAAGATGTGTGGTCTTCAACTCCCAGACTTCTCCTGGCTGGCTGAGGAATTCTGGGAATTGAAGTCCACCTATCTTAAGTTTCTCAACGGGCCATTCCAACGAGCTGGAAATTCTGTTGCTGGAGATTAGAAACGGCGGCTTGATTTGACGTCTCTTTTTTTTTCCCCTCCTGGAATTTTCCCGTCTCCAGGAAAGATGGCTGAGACTTTGGGGGTCTCTGAGAAAGTGACCCTCTTCCGCCAGAAAAACGGGGTCACTTACCGTATCCCGGCTCTGCTCTACCTGCCCTCCGAGTCCACCTTCCTGGCCTTTGCGGAGGAGCGCTCCTCGGTGAAGGACCAAGATGCCAAGTCCTTGGTGATGCGACGCGGACGGAAAGAGGGCCTGTCTGTCAAGGTAACCCCAGAATCCAAAACTAGCTTTCTGCCTCTGGTCATTTCACCTTTCACCTTTCAGGTGGATTCAGAGCACCCCATACATTCTCTTTTCACCCCGTGTTGTAGTGCAGATAGCCTTCGATGTACCACTGTAATTGGGCCCAGCATTTCCGGTTGCTAAGCGAGATACTTGTTCAGTTAGTTTTTCCCCATTTTACGACCTTTCTTGCCACCGTTGTTAAGTGAACTACTGCAGCTGTTAAATTAGTAATGCGGTTGTTAAGTGAATCCGGCTCCCCCCGTTGACTTTGCTTCTGTGAAGGTGGCAAAAAGGGGGAAATCATGGGAGCCCAGGAAATGGTGACCGCCGTAAATACGAGTCGGTTGTCCAGGGTTTGAATTTTGATCATGTGACCGTGGGGATGCTGCAGTAAGTGTGAACCATGTCACAAGTCCCCTTTTTGAGTGCCGTTGTAGCTTCAAACGGCCACTAAACAAAGCATTGCAAGTTGAGGACTACCCGTATGGCTGCATTCACATGACCACCTAATCCAGAACAACGAACATCTGGGGTTGCTACCTTATTGCAGCATGCTAAGTTTGGTTGGTATCAAAGTCAGTTTATTTCAGTGCGTTCCAAGTTACAACAGCACGGAAAAAAGAGACTTAGGACCGTGTTCCCCACTTAACGACCGTTGCATCATCCCCTTGGTCACGTGATCAAAATTTGGATGCTTGGCAAGTGGTTCATATTTACGATGGTTGCAGTGTCCGGGGGGGGGGGTGTCATGTGATCCCCTTTGGACAAGCAAAGTCAACGGGGGAAGCCAGTTTCACTTCACAACTGTGTTACTAACTTCACAACTGTGGCAAGGCAAGGCAGGTCGTAAAATGGGGAGAAAACTCGCTTCACAAATTTCTCTCTTAGCAACAGAAACGGGCTCCATTGTGGTCGTAAGACGAGGATTCCTGTACCTCATGCATGAATTAGAACGCCGTGGCTTGCTGCCTAGCTGGGCTTAAAACAGAACATGGTTTAGTGCAAAATAGCCGAAAGAGGTCCCACGTCTTTTCTTTCTTTTTCCCAAAGAAAGGTGATGTGATTATCCAAGATCCAATGGATTTCTTTATATCTGACCATTTCGTATCTTCTCTCTAGTGGGGTCCCCAAGAATGTCTTGCCATGGCCACGTTGCCAAAATACCGCCCCATGAACCCCTGCCCCGTCTACGAGGCCAAGGACGCCACCATTTTCTTGTTCTTCATTTGTGTGCTTGACCACATCACGAACAAACAACAGATCTGGAAGAGCGAAAACATGACTAGGCTGGCCTACATCTTCAGCAAAGATGGCGGACGCACCTGGAGCCCAACGACGGACATGACCGAACAGGTGATTGGAGAGGATGTGAGCAACTGGGCCACGTTTGCCGTGGGACCGGGCCATGGGCTGCAGCTGAGCTCCGGGCGGCTGGTCATCCCGGCCTACGCTTACTACATTCACACACACTGGTTTGGACACCCGCTGTGCTGTGGCACCAAACCGCACCCCTTCGCTTTCTACAGCGACGACAGTGGGAAGACGTGGCTGAAGGGCCAGCTTCTCCGAAAACCCCTGCGGGCCTCAGAGTGCCAAATGGCGGAGGTGGTGGACGAGAATAACAGCCCAGTGTTATACTGTAACGCCCGTGGCGGTGACGGATACCGAGTCGAGGCCTTCAGCAGAGACGGTGGAAGACTCTTTGAACACCCCTTCCAATCTCAGAAACTGGCGGAGCCTCATAAGGGATGCCAAGGCAGCGTGCTGAGTTTTCCTTCACCACAACTGGGGTTTCCCTTGGCTTCCTCAAAGACCCCTGAATCATGGTTGATCTTCTCCCATCCCACCAACCGAAAGGAGCGTGTGGATCTGGGCGTCTACTTGAACCCCTGTCCGTTGGAGGAGAATTCCTGGAAGACGCCATGGATCTTGAACACAGGACCCAGTGGCTACTCAGACTTGGCTGTTTGCACTGGGGAAAATCCCCTCTTCTTTGGCTGTTTGTTCGAATGTGGAGAGTCGACGTGTTACGAAGAGATCGCCTTCCGATTGTTCAGTGGCGCAAAACTCCTGAAAAGCCAGGACGTAACCTGTGCAGAAAAGAATTAACTCCCTATACAAGCCAGGCCCACATCTCTGGGGCCCATCAGCACCAGAGGAGGATTAAATCACAGCCTTTTTATACATAATTTTTATGAATTTTTTTTAACAGAGTTAAGAAACATAATAGGAGCTAACTAGAATGGAAACCAAAGGCAATAAAGAAAAATAGTAAATAATGGAAAAAAAACCATGAAAAAAAATATATAAAAAGCAGCTTCTGATCTTCTTGACAGTGGTTATAGATGCATGTATATTTTTCATCAGGGAATTGTGCAGCCGGTGTCCAAATGAAGTCAGAGACGCTGTGCAGAAAAGAATTAACTCCCTATACAAGCCAGACCCACATCTCTGAGGCCCATCAGCAGCAGAGGAAGATTAAATCACAGACTTTTTGCACGTATCTTTTATGAAAGAAACTTTTTAACAGAGTTAAAAAAAACATAATAGGATCTAACCGGAAAGGAAACTAAAGACAATAAAGAAAAATAGTAAATAGTGAAAAAAGAAAACGTGACAAAAAAAAAGAATTATATAAAATATAATCTGATCTTTTGATCTTCTTGACTGGTTATAGATGCATGTATATTTTCCGTCAGGAAATTGCACAGCCGTGTCAAAATGAAGTCAGAGACGCTGACAGGAATTGTAATTTTATAGAAATAAATATGTTTTGTAACTATATATATAGCCAACTAGATAAGTCAGGCAAACAGGAACATCATGAAGTAAATCAAGACAGGAGCATCATGAGGTAAATCTAGACAGCCGGAACATCATGAGGTAAATCTAGACAGCCGGAACATCATGAGGTAAATCTAGACAACCGGAACATCATGAGGTAAATCACAGAGCGCATAGAAGAAAAAGGGAAAAAGGGAACCTCCCCCTCCAGAGCAGCCGGTGTCCAAATGAAGTCGGAGACGCTGACACAAATTGTAGTTTTATAGAAATAAATATATTTTATAACTATATATATAGCAAACTAGATAAGTCAGGCAAACAGGAGCATCGTGAGGGAAATCAACACAATAGGAAAATCATGAGGGAAATCACATTTCCATTGCTAAGCGAGACAGTTGCTGTGTGAGTTTTGCCCCATTTTACGACCTTGTTAAGTTAGTTGCACAGTGAGCTAAGTGGCTTCCCCACAAACTTTGCTTGTCAGAAGGTCGCAAAAATTCCTCCTTGGAAAAGAGCTTTTATATCACTGATCCCAAAGGAAGATCAGGATCTTACAGAGCCTAAGAATTATAGGCCAATTTCATTATTAAATGTTGATTATAAGATTTTTACAAAAATTTTGGCAAATAGATTAATGCAGGTTGTGAAGGACTTGATTCATAGTGATCAAGCAGGATTTATAACGGCGATATATGAAATATAATGTTAGACAAATTATAAACTTAATTGAGTATTTGGATAAGAATAATCAGATTCCTGTGGCTTTTATTTTTTTGGACGCTGAAATAGCCTTTGATCAATTAGATTGGCAATTTTTATTCTCATTGGTAGAGAAAATGAATTTTGGGGATAATTTTTTACATGCACTTAAAGCTATATATCAGCAACAATCTGCACAAATTGTTGTAAATGGGGGACTGACTGAGAATTTTAATATTGAAAAAGGGACAAAACAAGGATGTCCATTATCCCCATTGTTATTTGTTTTAACGTTGGAAATTTTATTGATTCAGATTCGAGAATCAAAGGTAGTCAAGGGCGTAAAGATAAGGAAGAATGAGTATAAATTGCGGGCTTTTGCAGATGATTTGGTTTTAATTTTGGAGCAACCGAATCAAGCGATTGATTGTTTATTAGAACTTATAACACAGTATGGGAATGTTTCTGGTTTTAAAGTCAACAATTATAAGACTAAGATATTATCTAAGAATATGTCAGTTAAGGATAGGGAAAGTTTGGTCAAAGCTACAGGTTTCCAGATGGTAAAAAAGGTTAAATATTTGGGAATATATTTAACTGCTTCAAATGGAAAATTGTATAAGAATAATTATGAACCATTATGGGTAAAAGTACAAAAGGACTTAAAAGACTGGAAAAAATTGCAATTGTCATTGTTGGGGAGAATTTCAGCTGTAAAAATGAATGTTCTACCAAAGTTCCTTTTTTTGTTTCAGATGATACCTATTTTTAAAAAAGAGGCAAATTTGGATGACTGTCAAAAGGGCATCAACAATTTTATATGGGCCGGAAAGAAACCAAGGGTTAAGTTTAAGATTTTACAAGATGCTCGAGAAAGAGGAGGACTTAAGGCACCTAACTTGAAATTATATTATGATGCAGCCGCCTTAACTTGGTTAAGTGACTTTTAAATCACATATTTTGAGGAATGCCCTACTTCATGTTTGGAAAAAGTATTATTACAGATTAAATTATAAAATACCTATTGGGGGGATTCCCAGACATGCAATTGAGGGAACTTCTAAGGGGACAAATTTTGATAAAATCTCGTATAAAGAATTGTTAATTTGGTCTGGTTCGAATTGGCATTTGAAATCCCTAGATGTATTAAGGCAGGAAAATATCCTACAGTCATGGTTTCAATATTTACAAATAGTGGATAGATGGACTGTAGATAAGAAAGAGGGAATAACATTAGAAGACAAACAATTGGTTATTCAGATTAAAAATCAGAATCAGGCTCATATAAAAAGAATTTATAATGTTTTACTAGAGTTAGACTCGGAAACAAAGTTGGTTAAAGATTGTATGATTAAATGGGCTCAAAATATACAGGAACCGATTTCATTGGATTTATGGAAGACAATTTGGACTAGAAATGTTAAATTTACACAAGCTCAAAATTTGAGAGAAAATTTTTATAAAATGTTTTATAGATGGCATTTAGATCCTAAAAAATTATCTTGTATGTATCCTAATATACAGCCCAAATGTTGGAGATGTGGCAATAAAGATACGACATATTTTCATATTTGGTGGAATTGTAAAAAGGTAAAGGCTTTTTGGATTATGATTTGGTGGAACATTCAAAAGATTTTTAGAAGGAAGATAAAGTTCACTCCTCAACTATTTTTATTGGGTATTTTTGTGGACTTAAATGATAAAGAAACTATTTTGATGTTGAATTTATTAACTGCTGCAAGGTTATTAATAGGTTTATACTGGAAGAAAGATCCTTTGCCTACTTTAGAAGAATGGGTATTTAAAGTATCTAGTTTTGCAGAAATGGCAAAAATTTCTGCTTATTTAAAGGATCATACACAAGAAAGATATATTACTGTATGGAGAAGATGGATAGATTATATTCAGAAAAAGTATGGAACTAAAAAGTTTCATTTATTTTATGAATGAATATTATAGTAAATATTATAGAGAATTTATAGGTTATTGGAGTTAAAGGTTAAGTATGATTTTTTTCTTTTTTCTTTTTTTCTTTTTCTTTTCTTTTTTTTATTATTATAAATTTTCTATTTTTGTATTCTGCTCTGGTGAAGGGATTGGGGGTGGGACTTAAATAGGGATGAAGGTGGGAAAGAAACCCCAGGGCACTCCCCTGCAACCGGTTAAAATAGGATGAAGAATGAAGTCCTTTGGTGCTTGGAAATTTTGATCACCTAACCGCAGTGCAATAAGTTGCTATTCGGTCGTAAGCTGATAGTGCCGTACCATCATGGTTAGAACTCTCCCTAAGTAACATGGATCCATTACCTGCTATCTCAAAAATTGCTGTTCGCGAGGATTACGTGAGGCCGGGACGCTGTTCATAAATCTGAGTCAGTTGCCAAGTGTCTGAATTTTCTTTTCATACAATTCAGTTGTATTTATTCAACAAACGTAGTTTATCATTCACCAATTGCCATTGATAAAACAAATCCCAAGTTTGTAGTAACCTCATGAAAAAATGCTAGAATGTCCAAATGTCTGAATTTTGATCACCTAACCGTGCTTGCAGTGGTTATAAGTGTGAAACACGGTCGTAAGTCATCCGTTGTAATGGCAGTCACTAAAAGAACGGTCGTAAGTCGAGGACTATCTTTCAACATGGATCCGCTACTCTGATTATTCCGAAATGCATTTCAAATTAAACCTTGGGGTAAAGTTCACCCAAGTGTATCATTCCGATTTTGATATAGATAGGAGTTGGTCACAAGTGATTTTAAGCCATATAAACCATCTGACTTTTTACCATGGAAACACACAGTCGTTAACCATAAATAGAAAAGGTCACTAAATGGGAATCCAATTGTGGGCCTGGTATGACCATCGTAACTCTGAGGAGGAAAATCTTTTCCCAAGGCCAGGGCTAGGCAATATGACAGAATAGCCAGCCATAGGTGAAAAGAGGTTTCCAAGCTGAGCCAAGGAATTCTGGGAGGAAGTCCACGAGTCAAAGGGGCCATAGATGCTGGCTCATTATTGAAGTCCACAAGTCAAAGCATATGGAGGAATTCTGGGAGTTGAAGTCCACAAGTCATGATCAAGGAGAGTTGAAGTCAAGTCCTTGGAATTAAGTTTGAGCAAAGTTACCTGAGGACATGTGAGGACAATTAACCAAGTGGAACAACTTGCCACCAGAAATTGTGGACACTCCACCCCTGGAGGTTTTCAAGAAGAGACTAGAGACAGTCACTTGTCTGAAATGGTATAGGGCCGTGGTGGCGAACCTATGGCACGCATGCCAGAGGCAGCACTCAGAGTCCTCTTTGTGGGCACATGCGCCGTCGCCCCAGTCCTAGGCCTTCAGCTGGGTTTTATAAAACCTTTTCGCTTTAGGCCTCTGCCACCGTGTGCAAAAAAAAAGGTTCAATCAATTTCAACAAGATCCCGCAAAGTTGGAATTGATTGATTGAACTTTTTAGTCCCACCCAGTCTGCTGTTACCACCGCAGCCACGCCCACCCGGCACCCAACGATACATAAGTGGGTTTTGGGTTGCATTTTGGGCACTCGGTCTCTAAAAGGTTCACCATCGCTGGTATAGGGTTTCCGCCTGAGCAGGGGGTTCGACTAGATGACCTCCAAGGTCCCTTCCAACTTTATTATTATTATTATATTGAAGCAGGTTCTGATATTCTTGACAGTGATTACAGATACATTTTGCCCTCTCTCTGTCTCTAAAGTTACATCATAATTTACTTCTTTCCATAACCTACGTTTTCTCAATCTTCTAATACATTTAGTGTAAGTTGATTTTTTTTCCTTCTTTTTTTCAGCAAAATGTCCATAAGGGATTTGCAGTCACTGACAAATGTGGTTGTTGATCTTCCTCTGAATCAATTTTGCCACCTCTGCTTGTTCTGTCATCTTTCCAGATCCTGACCTGGAAATTTCATATGTTCCTTGGTTTTTGCACATATTAATAAAGGGCTTTAAATAATCGGATTAAAATTTTTTTTAATATGTTCCTTGACTTTTTTTCTCAATCACCAGCCCCAGGAGAGTTCTAGTCCCACCAATTGTGAAAGATCCTTTTGATTTGGGATCAATCACTAGGCGCATCCAAAAAAGTCCCATAAATTATTTGCA